TAAATATAGTATAAATCGAAATTATCTATTTATTTCCTAAATAGGTTAGTATACTATAAACTTACGCTAGTATCTAGTCTAAAATTATATCTAGAAACTATATATAAAAGATAACTAGTGGAATACTAATTAAAATAGTTACTTCCTAATTAGGACGCCGCTATACCTATTTGGAATGGTATTCCACGGTGGATGACCATTTCATGAGAGGTTAGGCTCGCACCATAGGCTTGAAGGATTTGCACCCAGCCCTTTGAGTGGTAATTTCGGACCCGGGCCCACGTCCCGCCTCACGTGCCCTTCCTCCTTGCCACAATTTCCCACCGCACCCAGCCATGTCGCTGTTGACGGTAATAGCGACAGCTCTTCGATCCTGGTCGGTGGGGTGAAATTGGTAAAGCCCGAATCGAAAACTACGAAAAGAGGAACACAGGGATTTTCGAAGCTTCCTCCGTCAAGGTGTGATTGAGACTGTGAAAGTTGAACACAACGACATCTCCAGGTGCAGCCAACACCTGATCAGGGTCAAACAGCAGCTGCATTTGCATTCCCAGACCGCTCCCTAGGTCATAAGTTACAGGAATATGTGCAATTCCCCGCGGAGGGTTTGCATGGGGACGAGATCAGGAGAGGAGTAGAGCTAACTTTAGTCTGTTGTTAGCTTGGTCGAGCCGGCTGATTGTGAGTGCCACGGCGCGAAGGCACTAGCCCTCGAACAAGCGAGTCACCAATAATAGCCGTCATCCACAGTACCCACCCGGATAGGTACCATCCGTGCTGGGGCACTAGACCGTTTGAACCCCCAGGCGGCTCGCGCGAGCCGGGGTGGAGCACAGGCCGGCATCACCCTCGTCCCAATGTCGAATTTCAACGCGACGCCAGTGTCCGAAAACCCATTGGGCATGAAGGTTCGAAACGCTCACAAACTGTTTCATCTCACAGTTGCATAGCCGCCCAGCTCGCGTTTGTCAAGAGCAAAGGCACTCCCCATGATTTATATGCTGCACTGTAAAGGCCTCCTCGGAAAGTTTCTCAACCTTGTCCACAGCCAGAAAGTTCGCTATCCAAAGGCTTCTGCGGCACAATGGCAGATCCCATAAGCTTGTCATCGGGCCTACTGGCGTTGGCACTGTTTGCACTACAGTCTAGCCGAACACTATATCAAGAGATTCGAGCTTTCCAGAATCAAGGCAAAGCCGTGCGTGTGCTTAAGGACGAACTCGAGGCACTCGAAAACGTTCTAAAGGTCCTCCACGAGACACTCAACAACGAGGAGGTAGACCTCAAGGGACTGGAGCTGCCACTCTTGCGTTGCGGCAATGCCTGCAAGGATTTCCAAGTCCTGGTTGCGAAATTGACAAAAGGTTCTTCGTCGGGAAATGCAAGTTGGAGGGACTGGGCGAAATTAAAGTACATGGGCGACGATATTACAGGCTTCAAAGATATGTTGGCGGGATACAAGTCAACCATCACCTTCAAGTTCGCGTCTATTCCTTCTATCTGTACCCGTTGCACCACTCCTATTTATTCAAACTCACCTCAGCGGTCAAGTTCAGCGAGTTTGATTTGTTTGTGCCAGAAGTTCTCGCATATTCAGTCCTTCTTGACTTCAAGAAAGCCAACCTCCATCAACTGAGGCAAGAAAGTCAGCCTCGATCATGTAGGAATGAAATTTGGCGGTGTACCTCTGTAGACTGATCCAGTCACAAACGATGCATCATTGCTCAGTAGGAAGGCAATGATGTTAGCAGGCTCACGTGGATCTGCTTGCCGGTCCAAAGCTTGCTGGTTTGTCCCTAGTCTTTGGCCTGAGGCTTTTTGGAGGCCTTCCACCAACGGTGTTTGGATAATTCCTAGATGGCAGGGATTAATGACAGTTTCGCAGGATCCGCGGTATCTCACCTGGGGCAATGGCATTGACTCTGATGTTCTTAGAGCCCACTTCTCGAGCGGCAGTTTTCGTCAAGCCAACGACCGCATGCTTTGAAGCCACATAGGCGCAAGCTCCACTGCCTCCGCTCAAACCACCAACACTGGCAACATTGACCTGCGTGGGAAAAGAAGGAATTTGATTAGAGGACGTCAAACACACAGCTGGGTTTTGTGGAAGTTTCTCACAATTGATGCTCCTTCCGTCATGTTTTTCAGTTGTGCTCGCATGCACAGGAAGACGCCTTTTGCGTTGATGTCTGGTCAAGTTTGTTGTTAGTATTTGGTGAATACTGCAAAGGAAAGAAAGAATTCAAGAGGAAGGGTAGCCCAACTCATGATCAAATCCCAGTGGTCCTCAGTCGTCTCGATGAACGGAGCGGACTTCAACGCCAGGCCTGCAACATTGGCGGCGCCATCGAGCTTTCCAAACCGCTGTACAATGTCCTTGATCCACCCCTCGACCTGTTCATTTGAAGTCACATCCACCTTGGAAGCGATATGCTTGTCACCGGGGAGGGACGCCGCAGCAGATTCCACCGCATCTTTGTTGATATCTCCCAAGGCCACAATCGCACCTCGTGTGGCCAGGACTTGTGCTGTGGCAAGACCAATCCCACTGGCCGCGCCGGTGACAGCGATCTACAGTGCGAGTTCAGTGGCGGGCCTTTTTTTGGAACGATGATGGGTGGATTATTGCACTCACTACTTTTCCTTGCAAGGAAGTCATTATCTGCGACTGATCTCTGAAGACTGCAACCTACTCCCACTAGGTCTTGATGCAATAAAGTAGAGTTCCAAGCCCGCAGAGGCTCAAGTCGTCAGCCTTCCGCCTCGTATTCCACCATAAGACAAAGATTCGACTGCAATTGGAGCTCCAAGATTTAAAGGGTGGAGAGCCTCACCTCGGGTTGTCATACCAAACATCCAGCTTGAAGTATCGTAATTGAGCACCGTGTACGGGACGCTTTGATCAAGGTTCGCCTTAGGCTAGCCTTCAGGGTCTGGATGCGCTTGCATAGCTCCTCAAGCTTCCTAAATAGCTACCCAGCGGTGGTATGGAGTGCCACTGCGGCGGAAGGTCAGTTCCGCTTAGATTACTCGGTATTTCTTTAATGACGCGCCCCCTCGGCCCCTGGCCCTTACCTAAGCTGCCCTAAAAATGTGGGAGTGTCAGGTGAGGGGTATCCCACATCCAGCTCCTCGGCGCCCACGCAAGTGCTTAGGCGAATCTCTTTTCCGCCTGTCCTGCTCACTTCTCACGCCGACCCCCTTTGAACACCGGAAGATAAGTGTCGCTCGCCTGAAGATAGCCAACGCTCTCTCGCGGCCCTGAGATTCCCTTCTGTATTGCTTCTCGACCCACCCTTGCCTGCAACATGAGTAACCGCAGTGCTGGTGCTCATGCTCGGGTCTCTGCTGCCTGTAGTGCCTGTCGCAATCGACGCACAAAGGTGGGTTAACCGTGGCTGCCAGATTGTTGCTTTGCTCATTGGGGCTGACGGGTATCGTGATCCAGTGCACTACGGATGCTGGTCAAACGTCCTGCAACTACTGTCGGAGCAAGGGCCATGAGTGCACCTTTCAGAGGTCTGACGAGAGGAAGAGGTAGATACCCCCCAATTTGCTCCAGCCATGTGGATGGTGCCCCTGACGGTTGGAGGCCCAAATCCAAGGTGTATCTGAACTCGCTGCTTGAAAACATCGAATCCCTTGAGCACCGGATACGAGAAGCCGGTTTGGAACCTCCTCAGCTTCCTCAAAAGGTCACTCGAACGCAGCCATCTCTGCAATACGCACGCCCCACGCATTCTTCATCAGAAGCACCACCCTTGGAGGCAGCAACCTCGGAAAATCATTCTGACACTGCGCGCTCGCCAAATGCATGGCCGTTAATCTTTCCAGACAACCATGCTCACGAGTCACCTGCATCAGCAGACGCAGTGTTGATATCGCATAGGTCACCGGGCAGCACAAGTGGGCTTAACCTCTCCAAACCTAACAATACGGTTCGTCCACGAAGTGCTTCCAATCCTCCGAGGTTAAGCAATAGGAAGAGCACAGTATGGAATCTGATCTATGGAAACGACCGACTTATCTACGACAAGAGAACAGGTCGCGTCAGCTATCTCAGCGCATCCACTTCCTACAAGATCTTTATCAAGGACCACGCTGCCCTCGAGTCCACGCATTTAGACAAGCAGTCCTACCGCATCCTCGCCGATATTCCCGCAGACCTGGAGAGTTATCTGATGGATCTTTTTTGGAACCAATACAATAACACGCTGCGCGTTGTGGACCAAGTTAAGTTCAAAGGCGACCAGAGCAGTGGGGGTACCACATACTATTCAGGACTGCTTCACCTCGTATGCTTGGCTATGGGTTTTCACTACGCGGACAAGACCCGGCCTGGAATGCAACAAATCACAGCCGAGGACAAGCAGAGTGTCTTCTGGCGCGAAGCGAAATACATGTTGGATCGCGAGCTCAACGATCCTGGAGGGCTCACGACTATCCAGGCCATGTTGATCTTGAGCGACCTCGAATGTGCGTGTGGTCGGGACGACTCGGCCGCTTTGTACATCACCATCTCATGTCACCTCGCCTTCCAATTCGGGCTCAACATAGATTGTTCAAGCCTGAATTTGCCCGAGTCGAAAACGAAGTTTCGGAAGGATGTATTACGTTCGTGCATAATATACGACCAGGCCTGGGCTTTGCACCTGGGAAGACCAACCAATATCAAACTCGCTGACGTGGCGAGCCCTTGCTTAAACACCCGCAGCTCGAATTCCGGCGAGTCTGCACTTCGTCCACCACATGCTATTGCCAGTGAGTCCACTTCGTCAGAAGACTTCCTCATCGAACAGATACTCGATGCCTTACTGGAACTTTCGGAGCTCAGTTCTAAAATTCAGGGACTGGCACAACCAATGCTCAGTCCTGACGCGGTCGGAGATGAGGGCAGGTTGGTCGACGTTGCCATGTTGGACAACAAATTGAAATCTTGGTACAGCTCGCTGCCTCCACGGCTGACCTGGACTCCGGAAAATGTCCAAGACGCACCACGGGCGTTCTTCTTGATTCAGTAAGTCATCCTGGTTTGGAAATCTCCCTTCGCTGTCCGCCCCTGGGTCCACGCAGCCAATGTTACTCTGTCCACGTCTAACACTTCGTACAGTCAACAGTACCACGTGTCTCAACTCGTCCTCTATGGTCCTTACGGGAGGTACGAGGACGCCGTAGGAGTAGAGCCTGCCAAGTCACCTGGCGCCGCAGAGAAATCCTCCGAGACCAGCGAATCCAATTGGATGCGCGACATGGCCCGATCCATTACGATGAAGGCCGCGATGAACATCGTCCGTGGCTTCACGAGCTACCGTCAAAAATTCGGCACGTGCCAAACAAACGTGTTCGCTCTTCAACAAGCCGGCACTGCGTTCTTGGCTCTGATGTGCAGTACCAAAGCCAGCACCGAGAGGGAGAAGCGGATAATGGGCTTACAGCATCTGTACTGGCTGATGGAGCAGCTGCGAGAAATGTCTCACATTTGCTACCCGGCGCAGATAATGTGCCGTGTCATCAAGCACGAGATGGAACAACTTGGACTCGACTTTGCAGAGCTGCCAGCACCACCATATACTCAAGGGTATAACGCAACCGCGTTGTCGACGACTGCTGATCGAGGCACAAAATCTCCACCATCCTCATCCTTTGACGCAGGCCCTACGAGGAAACGACCTCGTCTCTCCACGGGACAAGATGATCCCGCCGCCACCATTACAGTACTCCCTCACTCTAGTCTGACCCAGAACATGCCCTCCCCCAGCAATCCATCACTGAATCAGTTTCGTGACATTGGGCAGAAACCTACATCTCCGTCCTCGCTCAACGTCCTTGACGGTCGACCTTCTGGAACGTCTCCTGGTGACCGATTTGGGTCGATGATGAACATAGCAGATCCAGTTCTGGACCTTGGCACGACAGTCCCAAATTTACCGCCGGACTACTCACAAACGCCGCCGCTGTTCGATTTTCAAGGCCACAACATGATTGGCAACGATTTCCTTGACTTATTTCTTCCAAATTCGCGTTTCCTCGATGCACTCGACCCTCATTCGAAGCTTCTTCCAGGCGTAAGACACTTTGGATAGCTGCAAGGCTCTCTGAGGAATTTGAAGACACGGGACTATTGTAATGGAGTCACTAAGAACATAAGTCTCAAAACGTTGGCCTGCTCTGCTACTTTTCAGTCTCGAATGTTCCACGTTCTTTTTTTCGGTGTTGAATTTTCCACCTCTTCTGCATGCGTGGTTTCCTCAATGTTCTTCCGCTCCCCCAACTGCGTGCCCAGAGCCTGCGCAGCAGCGGTCTCCACCCCCACACACACATACCCTTCAAACTTTCGAGCCGGCAATCTCGCCTCGATCATCTCATGGATTTCCTCCAGAGTTCGATCTTTGGTCTCCGGTAAGAAGAGCCACGTCAACATGGCACAGACCATATTCGACCCGAACCAGATGTAGCCATACTTTGGACCCCAGTCGAAACTGGCAGGATTAATGAAATAAGGCGCCGAGAATGTCCCCGCCCAGTTTCCTAGGAAGTTGATCGCCGCAGCAGGGCCGAAGGTGAATGCTCGAAGCTGGTTGTTGGCGTATTCGCCGCCTAATAGCCAGGCGTAGGCGCTAGGAACGAAATGGGTTAATTCGAAAGTGAAAGGCTGTAAAGGGCAAAACAACTTACAGTAAGTGTGTGACAGCCACTTCTTCGAACAAAGAGTAGGCTGAGTAGTACACCAATCAAGCCGACCGCCGCGACCAAGATTCTGTAAGCCAGGGGATTGTCAACGCCGGAAAACTCCAAGAAGTAGACCGTGTAGATGTTAATACAGCTCGGTCTGTTGAGATAGACTTGTTAGCGAAGTACTTATAGCTGTAGGTAAAATGTCAACACAGGGCGAGACAAACCCGTTAGCTGCATGGAAAGACACAACAGATATCGAGAGGAGAGTACGTCAGAGGTTAGTGCCACGCCATATCTCCCGGAACAATGCGTTCTTGCTATGCTGAATCTGTTCTCTCGTAGACTGGCGGATTTCGTTCAACTCGGTCTGGAGTTCAAGCTCACTGATCTTGTGATTTCGCAACCTGCGCAGCGCGGCTTCTGCCTCGCGCTCTCTGTTCATGACCACTAGCCAGCGGGGTGATTCCGGAGCAACGAAGAAGAGCAGTATAGCTTGAATTGTGGGGACGACGAAGAAGATTGCCAGCGGAATCTTATATGCACGCCGGCTGAGCATCGTTCGCGTGCCGTAGTCGACCGCATACCCAACGATCCCGCCCATCGATAAGAGAATTTGGTACGATGCCAGAGCGATGCCGCGGAGATTTGCAGGGGCCGTCTCGTGGGCGTAGAGTGGCGCGAAGGTGATTAGCCAGCCGATGGAAAAGCCTTTATTAGGTGAGTAAGGGTGGTCTCTCATTGCTCGAAACTGGGAACATGGCTTACCCATCAGAAACCGAGCAAAATATAAGACCTCTTTGCTCGTCGTGCCGATTTGGATGGCTGCGGCTGCATAGATGAGAAGTATGGCTGCCCATGGGCCAGGTTTGCGCCCGAACCTGCTGCTAAAAGGGCCGACAAGGAGGGGAGATACAAAGGTTGCGACCGTCATAATGGACGAGATGAGTTGCTGAACGACGTGCTACAAAAACAACGCCTAGCTGACTGCCTCAAACGCCGAATGTGTTTGCACGGACATCAATGTTCCATCTTTTCAAGTGCGGGTCGTAGTAGCCAAAGACTTCGAGGAAGCCGGGCGTTCTACTGCTCGTCAGTCGTTTCCTCCTCTGTACCGGTCGCGGGTCTTACGACAGAAAGCCGCCCACCAGTGCGTAGTCGAGTCCTTCAATGGGAGCGTCAGCTTGTCAACGTGGGTTCCCGCGGGTTTGCAAGCTTTACCGTATTGGAACGACGACAGCATAGCCACAGTGCATATAAAGATGTATTTCCCGTGAGACCAAAAGTCAAGCTTCAGAATGTTTGCAGACACTGTCGTGGTCACCATTGTTATTCCTCCTGTTGCGATACTCAAGCTTAATCGTCCAGAAAGGGATTCGCAGATGCTTCTTCAACACCGTAAAGTAATATATGGATTACTTGTCCCAAGCTCTTATATTATACTATGGGGTCTCCATGTTTCTTCCCCGGGTGCGACTGAAGCCAATAGAGGTTGTTGGAGGTGCAGCCTGGGGTTGAATTGTGGGTGAACTGAAGTCGACCACGGAGTCGCTAAACGAGATCAGTTTCAGTAAACTTTCTGACATTTTCCATCTTCAGAATTCTCAGACTTCGTAGACTGTCGAAATCTTGCCAGAACTGAGATAGTCTCTCTTGCAGAAAATTTATGTGCTTTCCAGCATAAAAAGGGGACGAGGTCATCGTGAATTCAAGATCGCATAACTTCGAACATAACGAAAAAGTCCGTTTCGGCGCCCGGAGTTTCTGACAAAATCTGACAAAACCCTGGGCGCGGTCGACTGGCCGGACCAACATAACATTCAAGCCCGTGCACAGCGTGACGTTTATATGGAAGTTCTGTGGAGATGATCAAGATGCTGTACCACTTCGCGGCTGTGAAACAACGGTTTGCAAAAGAACTTTTGCACGGAGGTTAATTGAAAAGGTATCCCCATTTGCGAGAAAATGACGGCTCCAGTCGCCACGAGTGTGGATCCCACGTCGCCCGTCGCAACTCGGCACAAGAGTCCTCGGAGGATGTCTCCAGGGTATCACCTGGCGATGACAGCAGGTCCAAGAATTCCCTCACCGGGGGTGCCGCACGACGCGAGACGGTGAGGACATGATGCTCATTGCTGTCAAAAGAATCGAGGATTTCGCTGGTACGTGAAACGGCTCTGGCATTCTGAGACAGAAGACAAGTGCCTAGCCGTACGATCAGTCTTCCAGCTAGTCTTGTTCAAGGATCGAGGGAATAGGCTGACTTACGCCTCACGTGTTGAGCCAGTCGATCTTGTATCCTACGTTCTCGTTTATCCCGCACCTCGGACCAGTTGTCCAGCCTGGCGTCCATCCTGGGACGGCCTCGTTTTCGTGGTTCCATCTTGAAGAGGATGATGTATGCGAGGTTAACTTCGGCGGTATCAATCAATAGTCAGATTTCTGATGAAATCTGGGGTGGACGTCCTTCAATCCTGCAAAGAACATAAGGGTTTGGATTTCTGAGAAATCCAGATGAATTCAGGCCAAATCCAATCATCAAGGGAAGGTTCTAGGGGTCATGGGGAGCCTGGGGTTGAGTAAGTATTACTTGGTAGCTCTTGGGGAGCCGAGGCTCCAAGACGGATCGGTAATAGTGACCAATGCCAGATATTGTAAGAAACTCTCCCTTGCCGATGTGAAGAGTGAGTGGAAGAGTATATGACAAAGTCGAACACAGCATTCGCGCAGCCCATCTATTGTCAGAGCCTCCGCAGTTGATTCATGGATTCCAATGCAAAGGCACGCGTCTCAACGCCTGGCAATGGTGAGATCGGCTCAATTTATGCCACGGTCTGCAATATCAAGCTGTTCATGAAAATTCACAAGTCCAGACTGACTCCTTTCCGCAAAAATGGCTGATTGTGCAGACGGCAACTACCAAGAACTACTCGTCAGGGGCAGCACAGGTCCTCTGTTTCCTCAAAATGCAGACCTCTGACGACTGCGTAATCTACCTCTACCACGTCTTATATCGATACTTCGTCATATATCACTACTGTTTGTCACCTCGATGAAGCCCGATATGCTAGAAATTAAGTTTTATCTCTCTGCCATCCCGGCGATACTGGAGAAATATGTCTCAAAGTCACTACAAGATGGCAAACTTCCAGGCGCCGCTTTCGTCGTCCGAAAGTAGGATGAAACAGATTTGTTTCAACATGCATAGATGGGCCGTCAGCAGCCGTGGAATTTGAAGATTTCGAAGGCACAGAGAACATTTAGACGAAGTTGGCTAGAAAAATTTGAAACAGCCTCGCCAAGGTCAGGCTGTGGTTAGCAGGATGTTCTTCTCTTGACCCATCGTGAAGCATTTTGGGTTGAGATTGTTCCGTGCTGACTCTCGCCGGAAAAGGAAAAAAAAAAAAAAAAAAAAAAAAACCTACTTGGTACGAGTACTGAGCAATCGCGTTTCATTTTTCGAAACGCCAGACCGCCGGCGAAGGAGCCAATGCAAGTAGCAACGGGTACTCTGGTTCTTTGCTGTGGATGACAAACCTTCCTTCATTGTCCTCCAGGTGTGTAAGCATTGCTTCTTCAGAAATCTTCAGTCTGGAATACTGATACTTGGTATCGCTGCAAGAAGATGATTCAGGAAGGTCGCGAGAGAGCGATGAGAGACGATCTCGCCGTCGGCCTGTGATGATCACTTTCTTACCCAGCGCATGGAAGCGGCGGGCGAAGCTTTCACCGATGCCACTCGTACCTCTGAAGATAAGGATGATTGAGAACGATGCCAGGGCCATGATATGAGGAGAATGCCTATAGCAGGATGGGAACTGTAGGTAAGGTGCTGGTGTTGGGACCAAGTGCAGCTTATCGACGCACAGTCCGAAAGAGCCTGTTTTATATTTGTGACCGCTTCATACCCTACTTTGAGCTTACCCGGCCTCCAGCCCTGGAGATCCTGATTAGCGAAATATGATCCTCACGGTTCGCGGCATGAGAACCGACGAAGACCTTGTAACATGCTCTTGAGCCAGAGCTTGATTTTTAAGCGATTCTGACAAAATCAGCGAGCCCGAGTGGATTGCCAATCCTACTTGCATAATATGTCTATGTTGCATAAGAAGTTGACTATTGAGCCTTTCAAACGTCTGTCAGAAATCAAGTACATGACAGCACATGCCAGGGGCGTAGTACACTTTTCTCAGATCCCACCAATACATAAATATGAGTGACAATGAGATGAAGTTGAGACAGAACTTCACAGAAATCGCTATTTGTAGACTCATATCACCATCAAGCCGATCTAGCTCCTAGGGCTTGATATATTGCTCGCTCTAATTCGTCGTACAGCTCCGATACCGCGCCATCTCCTGGAGGCAATATTTGAACAAACAGCCTCGCGGCGATTCCTGACTTGTGGTCGAGCCACTATGTCGTGAGATTGTTAATGAAACAAGAATGAGATCGTGGAAGATGGCTGAGATACGTACCCAACGACAATTAGCTATACCATACCACATCACACTCCCTGCGCGTCGCTTCCCTGGAATATCAACCCGATTTATGGCACCCACAAGGCCATAGTTTAAAGGCATATCCTTCGGAAACTCCGGAGGGAGTATCGCATGATATTCGCCAAAGAATTGATCTAGAACAAAGCTCGCATCGGGAAGCTGCCAACTCAGCAACTCGTGAACTGTGTCTGGCTTGAGAATATTCTGGCCGCCACTCAACAAGCCTCCGAGAAGCTTTGCATAGTCTGCAGCGGTGGAATAGAGACCAACGCCGCCACAATCCATGGGGGTTAGGTCAGGCTTGTAATTTGCACCCAACACAACAGATTCACAAGGCCGAGCGCAGAAACCAATACTCGCTCTTGCTGGCTCGATTTCGTGGTGCTCTGGCTATGTGAATCGTGGTCCTCGTCATGCCCAATGGCTTGAAGATGTTTGACTGCATGTATTCTTCCAAATATAACTGGTTCAGCCACTGCACAACGTGGCCGGCCCAATCAAAGCCGATACCGTAGAGCCAATCTTCACCGGATTGAAGTTTCAATGGTATCTTCAACGATTCAACGGAAAAGGAATTCGCATTGATCGTCGTACCGGTCGACTGGCGCCACTTGATGAGAGCTGGATCCCAGACGTCGTACCCGAAACCACTGGTACGGCTTAGGAGAGTGCTATTTACGTGGTATCAGCTTCGTCTTTGATCACTCGAGGGGGTTGAGGACTAACGTAGAGTCACAGGCTTCATCTGGGCCGTGAAGATTGGACTTCCATCCTCGTTGAAGCCCTGTAGAACAGCTAAGCCAGCAAGCCCGCACGATCTTAGCCAAATCATCGTCCAAACCCACAAGACCGCGTCAACCATTTGCATTGCGGCTACGGATGTAACAAGCTTCGTCATCGAAGCGATCAAACAGACTGTGTCTTGGGTGAAGGGCTCATGGGAGTCAAATGTGCAAAGTCAGCTCCAAAGCTGTAGGACTCTTGGTTTGCGGCCTCAGATGAACTGCTTGTTTCATGCTCTCATTTCGCATCTGGCTCCCCACACAACCCGAACCCTCTTTACCCAACTCCGTACAAAGTGAAAGGTATTATCGCTCACGTCGTCTAGTGCTGGCCCTCAAGATCCTTTTTCATGACACATGGAAGCCGGCATACCCGTTGGCAGGAGAGGAAGCAAGCAATTTCTCCCTGTACGATGGCATCCCAGCCATGAACATCAGCGGCTCTCTCGCCTTGCCTGGGATATTTGCTCCGAAGAACCACCCGTCTGCCTTTGCAAACAAGGTGCTGTTGCCAATGGAAAGGACTTCCTCTCTCCATGCCTTCTCTGATTCTCGAGTTGCTTCAATGACCGTCTGGTCATCACGCCTCATGTGGCGCAAGACGTCCACCAACCAATTGACCTGAAGCTCAATCAGGGTTGGAGCATTGGCCAGGCCAGATGGCGACTGCGGACCATAGATGTAGAAGCAGTTGGGGTACCCAGAGCTGGCGATGCCGAGGTTGGTCCAGATGCCCTGTTGCCATCGATCCTTGATGGTCAAGGTCTTGTCCGTCCCGCGATGGTCAATGTTAGTGATGGTTCCGGAACTGGAATTGAAGCCGGTTGCGAAGACCAGGATATCGAATTCATACTCCGTGCCGTCGCCGAGTCTGACTCCCTTTTCCGTGATCTCCTGGATCGGATTGCTCCTCACATCGACAAGATCGACGTTGTCTTGGTTGAACACTTCGTAGAATGTCGTCTCCAAACAAGGCCTTCTGGTGCCGAATGGGTTCCACTGCTTCTCGGGAGCTAGCAGCTCGGCCTTTTTCGGATCCTTGACTCTGGCATGGACCTTCTTCCGCCAAAAATTGTAAGCTAGGTCGTTGGCCTCTTGGTCCAGCGCGATGTCTTTATAGTTGCCGACCCAAAATTCAAACCCACCCTTCTTCCACTTTTCTTCATAGAACGCCTCTCTCTCCTCGGCCGTGGCTTCTTTTGTCTCTTTGTCGGTCCATGTATAGAGAAATCCTGACCAGGTCTTGCGACTCGCGGTGAACGTGTCTTCTAAGTTGTCCTTGATTATGTTGTTGAATTCTTTATCATAGGGCACCTGGTCCATGGGTAATGCTGTGTTGGGAGTTCGTTGAAAGACTGTCATGTGGTCCACCTGAGGACCAAGCTCTTGGATAACCTGTACGCCAGAGGCACCTGTGCCAATGACACCCATCCTCTTGCCTTTGACGTCCAGGCCGTTCTGGGGCCAGAAGGAAGTGTGGCATGAAAAGCCTCTATAGTTCTCCACACCTTTGAAATCAGGCATCCACGCCTGTGCGTTGAGGCCGGTGCAGTAGACCAGGAACCGAGCGGTGGCTATCCCAGTGGTGACATTGTTGATGGTGTCGGTGAAACTGACGCGCCAGAGTCTGAGCTCGGCATCCCAGTGAGCTTCACGGACCTCGGCGTTGTAGGTCGTGTCCTTGCTGATGTCCCAGGTCTTGTCGAGATGGTTGAAGTAGGCCTTCAGTTCCTTCTGGCCAGGGTACCGCTCTGACCAGTTCCACTGGTCCCACACGTCGTCGGAGGTGAACTGGTAGATTGGGACATTTGAATCAACGCGGGCCCCTGGGTAGCAGTTCCAGTGCCAGGCTCCACCGAGCCCGTTGCCACGTTCAAAGATGTGGCAGTTGAACTTGAATTTCCTCAAGTTCTGCAAGGTGTATATGCCACCGAAACCACCGCCGACGATGATCACGTCGTAATGGAGGGGCTCAGCAATTGAACCCATACTGACGATCTGGGTGTTTGAAGGGAGGTAAAGGGGAACGCCTCTCAGAACTCAAAACGGAGGTATCTGGTGCAAGGCAGTTGCAAGATTGATCGAATTAGACCGTCACTTACATCAAGATAAATGGCCGACCTGGAAGATAATCACATCTATAATATAGACAGATGCACAAGCTTGCCAGAGCATTCAATCCGTAAAAGCAAGCGTTTGCATGTGAAGCTCACCTTGACCCATCGGCACTGTTTGGCTATAGGCCGACAAAACAATCGGCTTGAGATATCCCCTGCGAAGGGACCGTATTGCAGATGCGCGGATCATCGACCCAGGTGCGGATACTTACCTGGACAACCCATGCAGAAGCCGAAGTACTTGGGTAATCTCAAGGAACACAGCCAGCTCTGTAGGGTGCTGGGTCTCATTCTCCGGGGGCACCGCCGTTGCGAAGGCTGTATGGCAAGAGGAGGAGACCTTGGTGTAATGGCCAAGGTTCCAGCCTAACATTTGGGGCCTCAGATCAATCTTATCGGCAGAAGTCGGGCACTTCTATGCCGAACCTTCGGAGACACCCTTGAAAATATTGGCGGGGACGTTTTGTGCAGAAGTTGTGTCCTTGCTCTGAATATCGGCTACTATGAGAACTCGCAGGTTTCGAGTGTGACCGCCAACAGCGGATCGGAGAGTTGCTGGCATTGCAGCTTGGGTTGTCCTGGTACTAATGGACTGCTCTCTGACTGCGCGCTCTCTCTGGTCCGTCGAGAAAGACCAATTCTATGAGGTTGATCCAGGATGTAAGATACTGTTCATTACATGATACAGCAAGTACAAGCGCACGATATCTATCAACCATTCTCTGTAACCTCTTGCACACCTGTCAACCATTCGTTCAAGCTTCAACTCATCTGATTGATCCTCACTTCAACACGAAGCCTGGATAACCCTGCTTCCTGATATCTCCACATGTCTTCCGATATTGCGGCATCCCCTGCATGTAGATGTAGCACTCCCTCGCCTTTCCGGGAATGTTGGCACCAAACCACCAACTCTTTGCGTATTTGAATAGTCCTTTCTCTCCATTTGCAATGATTTGCTCCCTCCACTCCTCTTCAGCATCCCTGGTGCATTCGATCGTCGTGATGTGGTCTCGGCGTAGGTCCCGAAGCATGTCCGTGAGCCAGTTGCCCTGGTACTCGATACAGTTAGGTGCAATCGAGAATGGAGCGGGCGACTGTGGTCCAAAGACGAAGAAGAAGTTGGGGAATCCGTTACTACACATGCCCATATAGGTGTGGCAGCCCTTCTTCCACTTTTCGGCCAGTGTGAAAGAAGGATCGGTGCCGCGGATGTCGACATGAGTCAGGCCGCCCGTGATGGTATCAAAGCCTGTGGCCAGGATAATGACATCGAATTCGAGTTCATCTCCATTTGCTAATCGGATACCCTTCTTTGTGAACGACTCAATCGGAGTTTCGTTGATGTCGACGAGGTCAACGTGAGAAAGGTTGAAGATATCATAGTAAGTCGTGTAAAGGGAAATGCGCTTGGTACCAAATGGATTGGGTGGCACTTCCGGACACAACTTGTCTCTCTTCCATTCGTCTTTGATCAACGGCGCCGTCTTCTTTCGCCAGAACTTGTAGGCAGCGTCAGAAGCCTCAAAGATGACGGACGTATCCTTATAGTTGCCGACCCAAAAGTTGAAGCCGCCTTTGTTCCATAGTTCTTCATATAGCGCCTCGCGTTCTTCCGGTGTGACGTCGAAAGTATTCTTCTCATTCCAGGAAATCAAGAAGCCTGCCCATGTCGTCTTGGCCATCTCCATGATGTCTGGGAGATCTTTTTTTATCTTGATGTTGTCCTCATGTCGTAGCGGCGCTTGGTCCATGGGCAGTGCAATGTTCGGGGTTCGTTGGAACACCGTGAGATGCGATGCGATAGGCCCTATTTCCTGAGTTACTTGAACTCCAGTGGCGCCAGTGCCGAGAATAGCACATCTCTTTCCCTTGAGATCGACGCCTTCGTGTGGCCATCTGGAGGTATGGTATATCGTTCCCTCGAAGTCGTCGACTCCTTGATAAGGAGGCTTATATGGCACCGATGCAAGACCTGCACAGAAAAGCACCATGCGAGTCTTGACGATCGTGGTGGTGTTGTCTTGCTCATTCGAAATCTCGCACGTCCACATCTTTTCGTCGGCATTCCAATGTGTGCTTACCACACGGCAGTGAAAGCTAGCATCCGCGTACAGATTCCAAAGCTTGCCGATGTGGCGGAAGTATGCGTCGAGCTCGTCGCGCTTGGGGTAGGCTTCAGACCATTCCCACTGATCCCACGTCTCTTCTGATGAAAATTGATAGGTTGGGACAATGGAGTCGACGCGAGCTCCAGGGTAACAATTCCAGTGCCATGTGCCTCCAAATTCACTTCCTGCTTCGTAAAGGTGGACGTTGAAGCCGAACTTGCGCAGCTTGTTCAGTAGGTACATACCCCCAAACCCGCCGCCAACGATCAGCACCTCCCATTGTTTGTCCGCGCCCATGGAACCCATTTTGATTCAGACGATGTTGGAAGAAAGGTCGACGTGAAGTTTCAGACTTCGATTTACATGCCGAGGAGTCCTGAAGAGAAAATAACGGCGCCATGATTGATATGCTGGTGATTGTATTCGAGATCTAAACCTTCCTGCCGAACTCCAGCCGGAGATGGTTAGGCAATGAGCAGTCGGTCAGTTCAATGTGTCGCCTACATGATCAGTGAACCGACGAGAGTCGAACTAAGAATGCTCGAGTTAGGCAAGGCTCCAACTCGCCAAAGCCACACCCGATGAGGATCGGAATGGTGGCATGACACACGTGCAGGGTAAGTCCGGAGTAATGTGGAAGGATTTCATTTTCCGCTGTTCCTCCACAGCCAAGAAGTTTGGGAACTTCAAGTTCGTCCGAGCGGTGGACGAGACTCTGCCGATCCTTTCACATCATTCTGTGGTGGGTAGAAAGAAGGAACATCCCAACAGCAGAGCGATAGTTCTCAGATCAAAGGTGCAGTCTTTGCAAATAGCCACGTGCACAATTCTTCAGCCCGGCCGAGCTAATGAGGAGCATAGTCTGAAGCATTAGCAGGAGAATGTCTATCACCACGATGACTAGGCCGAACATCAAAATTATAGAGCGTGGAGTGGGCATTTATCAATGGTGAAGAAGAGTAAAGCAAGAGACTTAGATTTGGAAATCCATCCTGAGCCTCGTGTGCATATCTGGCCACGGCAAGTCTATCATTTTTCTCCTATGTTGGCTTCAGGCAGGAATGCTGCCACTTCTTCAAGAGTGGTTCTCTTGATCTGGGGGCATTCTTCAGGATTTTGCAACGTCCAGATCCTTTTCAATGTAAACAGATGGACAAAGTAGATGAGGTAAGTCCAATAGTTCTGAATGTTGCCTTCTCTTTCGGCCTTGAGAGCGATCTCCTCGAGCTCTGCCACCGATCCTTTACAGACCAAGCCGACCTTGACACCGTGCACTTTCTCGTAAGCGGCGGCGATCTGTCTCGGACTCATCTGTCCACTGCGGAACGTGAAGATTCCTCCTTCGCCTTGCTTCACGCTCTCTTGTCCCAAAGTCTCAAAGGTGAACTCTGCCGCGTCGCGCATGCTGGTCCAGTCATACATTTGGTCGGGCTCGCCCCAGTATTCGATATTCTTCCCTGATCCATCGCCTTTGTCCAGAACGGGGAAAACAAGTGGTGAATAGGTGTACTCGGCAAACGATCCAGTGAGGAAGTACACTGGCTTGATGGAGCTGGTCATCTCAACGTGTCGCTTGAACGCAATGTCAGGATCGTAGTGTGCCAGGTCTCCGAAGCGCAGCCGAGTCCAGTCATAGTTCCAGGTCGATGCCACGAAAACCTTGATGCCAGCATCTTCGGCATGTCGCAGTAGACATAACTGGGTCTCGAGGGTGATTTTCGCAAGAGGTCTCAGTGCGCATATCACTGCATCCACGCCATGACATGCTCGTCGCAATCCCGCAGCGTCCTCATAGGACTCAATTTCAACGAATGACTCAAGTTTGTTTCGAAGGTCCTGTGGGAGGCTTTTTGGATTTCGTCCAACTCCACGAACTTGATGATTGCGTGCCAAAGCAGATCTTATAAGATGAGGACCGAAACTTCCGGTCACGCCTGCGATCAGGACCAACATGGCTGGAGCGAGTGATTCCAAGAAGGAACGACGGATGAGAGGAATTGGTTGGGATATAGGGGAAATTACCAGTAAAGCCTGACATTAGGTAGGTACTTAGCAAGAAGTATTCTGTGCGTTCGATAGAGGCAAGGCACGTTGTTAGACTAGCTGCCTGTAGATATATCGTCCCTGTGTACCAAGGAGTCCATTAGCCGATTCGGAGACAGACATGCCGACTAGCTCTATACGAAAGACTACCGTCTCCAATTGGACGAACTCTTACAGCCTATGCACTTGGTTAGGAGGAAGCAAAAGTTGTTCAAAACCGTGTTTGCAACAGCCAGGTTTAATTTACACATACATCTTATACTGCAAATGTGGGCCTTTCGTGGTCTGCCCCTGAGCCCGACTTTCTTGAAGGGTGAGATCCCAGAGAAGATGCCGACGGTATGCCTTGGAAGGCTTCGGTGCCAGCGAGGGACTCTGCCAAGTTATCGACCCCGGGCGGTAGAAGATGATTCGCAACAGTGCAGATGTCCTCCGCTACTCGATAGTACTCGGCCATGCTCTTGAGCATGCTCATTAGTGTTCGAACATGCCGGAGTATCTCAGCCGCGCCTGAAGTGCTCTCATGATCGGACAGATTCGCGAGGAGGGTGGTCAACGCGACACACGTCGACTGGGGGATGAATACACTGGCTGAGCGCACTCCAAGCTTCTTGCAGCACTCGTCCATGATTTGGACGATGCTGACGGCATTTTCCAAGCAGATTCTTTGTGACAATGCCTCGAAATGTAAGGTGGGTCCGACTTGGGAGACGCCCATCAAGCCCTGGTATACTTGAGATTTGGTGGTGGAAACGAAGGAGCAGTGCAAGTGGATGACCGTGCTGTGAAACAGCTGGCTATTTTGCACTCCATTAGCTAAACTCTGACACATACACCGGGTGGGCAACTCACTGCATGAAGAAGAAAATGCCCGAAGAGGTCGAGAAATTCTCAGTGTTCCACCTCAGAGGAGGAGGGAGCTGCCTCTGCCAGGTATTGAGTTCGCTGTGCAGTGAAGCAGCTGCCATAAGCTTGGCGGCATCCTGGTCGCGAGTTGCTGTGGTCACCACCTGAGCGACATGACCGACCACTTTGACTGCCAATTCCATCAGCCTCAGGAGAGCATCCCATGCTGCTGTGTCTGCTGAACTTTCGAGCGTCTGCTCTGGGCTTCCGGGGGCGGATCCGGGTCTCGGAGAATACACAGGATGTAGGCCAGTCAAAGCCAGGTGGGAAGTCCTGATTACAGTAGGATGTCCCGAGAATATTGCCCAGATCCTGTCGTAGAACACGCATGCCCGTAAGAGACGGTATCGTAGTTCAATTTCTGAGCGCGGCAAATTTGACTTTGTATGATCCATCGTCAAGCCTAATTCGAAGGCGAAGCGACAAGCAAGGCCTGACGCCGAATTAGCAGTGCTTCTTTATTAGCGGAGGCAAGATATCAGAGAGAACATACTGGCATACATCCAACCTTGCCGGTCCCTGCCGACTGCGTATTCAAGGTCGCCCAGGATGAGCAGTCCTTGTATCGTGGTCAAGCCCCGCAAGTTCTCGAGCTCCGTCTCGACAAAATGCCTGGCATTAATCTGCAACGAACTGTGTCTATCGCCCCGGTCTAGTGCTTTGATGTCTGGTCGGGATTTATCAGCAAACCTGAAGCCTATCGCGAGGCAACAGATGTGCAAGAACCCTGAATAATGAAGTTTGTCACTATCCTTGTCCCGTTCGAAAGCGGTCTGGTCGACCAGTTGCATGGTACTGTTGTAGTAAGTCCAGAAACAGGACATTAGATGGTCGTGGGTTTTTAGATCGAGCTCGTTGATCATGTGGTGTAGTCGTTGTCTCAGGTGCCATGAGCCTTGAGGTATTCGTTGGAAGCCAGTAAGTTGGTCTGCGTAAAGTTGATAGCTCGTAGTGGGAGTCCAATGGCGCAGCTGGCCCGTGGCAGAATCATATGTCAGTGGCGGTACGTCGAACAAAAGTGAATGCATTTCGTCGGCTGTTGTGCGAAGAGTTTCGACACGACTGTCGAATACTGGAGGTGGAGCAACCGCATCGCTCGCGCAGGTATTGTTTGAAGCTGACATGTGTCTCTGTAACTCGTTCTCAAGCGGAGCTTCTTCAACAAGACCATAATCCTGAGACGTCAATTGTGCCACATCGAAGCTGTAGTCTGGACTCTTCTCAGGCATAGATCTGAAAACCTGTTGAGCTGCTTCCTCCACTGGTTGCGTGCTCTGGGGCTGTAGCTGTGCTTGCTGTGGCTGCATCAGTTGACGAGGTTGAGGTTGGGGACCGGGGAACCGAGGCTGTGGGAGTACGTCGCCGTCAATCTCCTTCAAGTATTTTTCCAGGAGCTCCATATGCTCGAGGAGGGTGCGGATGAAAACCCTTGATCTTGGCCTACCCGCAATCAGTGTGCTGCTGACCTCTGGTGCATCTACTCGCGCAGTGCGCGCGAGAGTGCCCATGGCTGTACCACTAGCATACCTTTTTCGCTCATCATCGTTTTTGAAGACACATTCCAGTCCATTGTCTTGACAGTAGTTGCACACTTTGTTGCCCGCTGTTGTAACGCACTGCGCAAATGAGACCTTGTGTTACAACACCTTGGGCGTCTGAACAAACCTTGATCCGCTTTTGTCGGCAACCCGTGCAGGCGACGGATGCTCGAGTGCGTCCGGGAGCTTGATGGGTAGTCTCTCCTTTCGCAGATGCCATGGTGGCTACAGCAAAACTGAGCTGAATCTTTCCTTGGACGTTGAAGTCTTTGGATGCTGCAATTTCTTGGGGTTCCTCCCCCACGACCGCGGGGTACTCGTACTGTAGGGACTCCAGCTAGCTAGTGTTAGTTAGCAAGCTGTCATCGGGCTTACGCCTAGACCGCGCGTCTAGATGGGGATTAGTAGTCCCCAGTTCCCCACTGTTCGGGGAATGATAGCCGGAGAGCACGAGCACCCTAGCTTTTCTTTCTCACAAACTCGAAAAAGTCAAGGACAAGCCATGATTCCTGTGCTTCGGTCAGGTGTCTTGCTATCGAAACTAGTAGGTACCTATCTCTACCGCGTGACGCAAGATGAGCATTCACACTGGCTTGTGGGGAAAGAGGCTTCACGAGCTTAGCCATCCCATTGCACGAAAGACGTGGAGAGGAAGGATGAGACTTGAGACCACGGCGCAGTTTGGGAAGTTCGAGAGACATCACTACCGCACGGAGAGACCTGCTCAGCTGCCTGATCCAAAATGCCAATGCTACGACAAGAAAGCTTCGCCATGGAGCCCCCAGAGCTTGCCTTTCCAAAATGCTCCGAGTTGAACGGACAAGCACAAAAGTTTAGAAAAGGTCATAGCTTCCACCAAATGCGAGCAATCGCATTAGACCTGGACAGCCTCACTTATATGATGTAGCCCATGCCAGTATCAGGTACCTTGAAATCACATTGTCTATCATATCGGCTCATGACAGGCTCTCGGCTACTGAAAAAGAGCTCAGCAATGGTCGAGACTGCGGAACAAACGCGGTTGGAGAAATTCCACAGTTCCGCCCGATTTACCTTTCTATCTACGGCAGTAAACAATGCTGGAATTTACTGTTTGCAGATGGCACTCGTCCAGAACTGACTCGGATATGTACCTCGGGACTGTCAAAGATCATGAATAAATAGCCAGGCATTCGCCCTTGACATAGCGTTGATGTAGTTCCTCGATCGCGTGAGCAGTATCACTGAGAGGCACGAATTATTCTTGCGTCTAACACCATCCTTCTTGTGTTTCATTCAAAATGACTGTCTGGGATCCAGATTCCAACAGTTTACCAAAGCTAGAAGAATTGCCAGCCATCGAGGGCGCTCCCCATTATGCAGCTTGGTTCTGGGGCAAGGACGATGAGGCAAGCTCAACCTCGCAGCCAACTTGCATCCAGACTGCTAACAGCAATGTTCAGCTGGGTCGACTGAATCTCCTCACGCCAAAGAGAATCGCCAAAGCTGCGTCTCTGATCCAAACTGGCGAATCTGCGGGCTTGAAGTCAGTCAAATTCCATCGAAACCGTCTCACTCTTCTTTGGCTGATTTCCTCGTCATCAGTTTCCCCGCAGGGTTACCCTATCCTACATTTTTTGGACGTGAACCCTTCAAGCACACGCTCAAGCAAGTGAATCCAAGAGCTTATGACGATCTGTATTCCTTGAACACGCAAAGCAGTTCGCAGTGGGATGGATTTCGCCATGTATGAGACAGGCCGAACCTCGATCTCCCGGATCACTCTTTACTGACAATGATTCCAGGTTGGACATGATCTCGGCGGAGGCTATATCTGGTACAATCACGTATGGCTCCCTCTTCATTCACGAAACCTAAATCATGCCTGACTTGTGTTCAGACCACTCGAGAACAAATAACAAACTCAAGCAAAAATGGCATCCACGCCTGGTCCAAGAAAGGAATTGGTAAGCACAATATACCATTTCGAGCAGTCACCCTGCTGATGCAAGGTCCAGTTGGACGAGGCGTCTTGCTCGACTTCTACTCCTTCTCTGGACAGTCCTACCATCCTTTCGATCATCGACACATCTCAGCGCAGGAACTCAAAGCTTGTGCCAAAGCCCAAAATGTCACGTTCGAATACGGCGATGTCCTGATCGTCCGCACTGGTTGGTCTGATGCCTACAAGATGCTGGATCAAAAGGGGCGAGAAGAGCTCGGAGCAAAAGGCTATCTGGAGATCACCTTCGCAGGGCTGGACCGTTCGAGAGAAACGATAGAGATGCTACACGACAACTATTTCAGTGCTGTTGCCAGCGATGCTCCAGCTTTTGAATCCTGGCCTATGGACGACCCAGAGCACTTGCACCATTTCTTGCTCCCACTTTGGGGTGTTCCGATCGGTGAAATGTGGGATCTGGATCGACTCGCTGAGCTGTGTAAGAAACACAACAGATACACATTTTTCCTCACCAGCAGTCCGGCGAACGTTGAAGGTCAGTCATCTTCTGAGAGTCACATTATTCTGAACTGCAATCTTTCTGACAAAAACAACAGGAGGCGTTGGTAGCTCCCCGAATGCCATCGCCATATTTTGACCTGGCTCATAAACATCACACTTAGATACCGAAACGAGGGAGATTTGGATTGTGATAGAGAGGAAATCAGTGTAGCTAGACATTTCGTCACCCTTCCCTATCCTCACAGTGTTCTTCAACAATTGACTGTTCGTGATCGTCTCCTTTCGCGATAATCTTCTGGACCGTGACCGCAATCTCAGTTCCTTGCTGAGAGAGAGTGGCCAGATCTTCGTCGCCAAACAGTATCGCAATCTCTTCCAAGCTCTTCCCGCGGGTGTCAGGGTAGTAGAAATAGATGATGGCTGAGAAGATGACAGTCATGATGATGAAGATCAGGAAGAACCGCCATCCGATGTCGGCGATGGCCGTTGCCCCTGACTGCGCCCAGAGGATACTTGTCCACATGAACGTCGACGATTGTAGCGACATTCCCTTTGCGCGGAGATGAGTAGGGAAGAACTCTGAGCTGTAATAGTAGAAAGGCCCCTCGACCGTGCCAGAGTAGGTTGCCACGTAGAGGAACATCATTGCCACCGCAGCAATTTTGCCCGACGCATTGTTCACGTGAATGTAAGTCGACGTCAGCCCGGTATAGGCGGAGAGTATAATGGCAAGCATCATCATACCCATGGCCACGAGGGTAGGACGGCGGAACTTCTCGGTGTAGAACACGCAGCTGAAGGTGAATGGCAGGTTGGTCAGCTGCATCCCTGCCTGCAGAAGAAGCTGTTTCTCGGAGGAAAAGCCCAGGTGCGAGTAGAGGACGGTGGAGTAGATAGCAATAACGGAGGCGCCCGTGGCTTGAAGCGCGAAGGTGAGGAAGATGGCCATCAAGCTTCGTTTCCGGTACGACGGTCTCCGGAACATTTCGACCCATGAGGAAGACAAAGTCTTGTTGAGTTCCGTCTGAGTCTGCATCTGAGATATCTCGGCGTTGATAAAGAGTTCGTCGGCCTCGTTGTCGTTAGAGTGGAATTTGCGCACAATCTCGCGAGCCTCCGAGTCGCGTCCCTTCATCAGGAGAAAGCGAGGTGATTCGGGGAGCCACCAGAGTGCCACCAGTAGGGGAACGCATGGTACAATGCCAATTGCCAGTGGCCCGCGCCACGCAGTTCCTGATTTGGAGACATGTAAGAAGAAACCCACTCCTACGTAACCCGCAAGAGTCTGACCAAGGTCGACAGCCACTCCATGAAACTGGGTAAATGAACCGCGAACCTCAGGCGGCACCGTTTCCAGGATCCATAGTGGGACGGAGATGGACAACATGATTGCGCCCCAACCCGTCCAAAAGCGGAAGACGATGAACATGCCAATGTTGACCGAGCCAGCAGCTAGGGCAGCAGAGGCACAGACGATCAGTGCGCCTACCAGAATGACGATCTTCCGACCCCAGCGGTCCCCGACCCAGAAGCTGAAGAAGGATCCGAAGAAGCCACCAGCGAAGAATAGGGACGTGGTAGCACCGATGATGGCCGACTCATTCTTCTTGTCTGCTCCGTGGTGCTGGACATGTCGCTAAGCAAGGAAGTTGGTTCTAAGACCTTTGAGTCGGTAAGCTGGAGCGGATTCAAGATGCTGATCCTCATTGCCACATGTATCAGACTCGAATGGATGAAGCAGGTGGGCAATGTGGATCGAAATTATACCTGCAATGGGGGTGGAATTAGGAAACTCCCTTGATCTTCCTGCATCAACCATTTCAGCAAGAAAATAAAACGGCTCGCGAGTTCCGCCGCACCTGACCTCCATTATCAAGCAAAGACACGGCACGGTCTGGGGAAGGACACTCTGCTGCATCAGCTGGAGAATCAGGACTAGTAAGACCCTTGGAATCAAATGTGGTGAGAGGGATCTGCAAGGTCGAGGCGATAGACAAGGTGGAATTGTACGGTTAGAACGGCAATGCGGAAAGATCTGCATGTGTCCTATCCATGTGCCTACTACAGCTTGATCCAGAACCATGGCTCGATACTGAAGCAGAGTTGCAGTGTGTTGGGCTGGTCAGAGGCCCGACGGAACGAAGTTGCGGTTTGAGAGCGAAGGTTTTAACCGCCAGTTTCTAGCAAACGTTAAATTGAACCTTTGCTAGCAATAATCGATTAGTTAGGTGTTGAGGACATTCATGGAGCAGAACCCAATCACCACCAAGGCAATCGAAGGCTCCAAATTCTGAGATTTACTACAATCCACGAGGTTCAGGATGGGAAAGCAACTTCGATTCGATGGTTGAGTTTCCATTATCACTGGCGGGGCTAGTGGTATTGGCCGTGCCCATGCCTTGTTGCTTGCATCACGGGGCGCTTTGGTCGTTGTTAACGATCTGCCAGACAAGGTTGAACAGACCCAAGCTGTTGTAAATGAGATCAAGCAGGCTGGCGGACACGCCGCTGTTGTGACAGGAAGAGTCGGTGCCGATGAAGACGCACGTGAACTTGTCGCACGGACAATCGAAATGTTCAACCGCATCGATATTGTCATCAATAACGCCAGGATCTCGGGTGGAGGAAACCCAGCTGACACACTCGTTCAAAAAAAGCCCGGAGATGGGTTCGAGCGTTTTTCCAGCGTCAATGTCCGCGGACCTCTGCAGCTAAACCGTGCCGCTTGGGCCGCACATGGTGAAGCAAGGGTACGGCCGGATCCTGTTGACGAGCTCTGCTAATGGGATTGGATGGATGCGCGGTCTTCATGGGTACGAGGCAGACTATGCCAGTGCCAAAGCGGCTGTGATCACGATGGGCATACAGACCCGCCGGAGCTGGTGGCGAACATGGTATAACTTGCAACACATTGATGCCGTGGGCTTATACGCGCATGGTCGAGGAGACCCTCGAGGGCTCAGAGCTGGGAACCTGGATGCAGCAGAATCTCCGCGCTGAGCAAGTCGCTGTAGGCGTTCTTCCTGTTCTGCACTAGGACTTTAGAGTGACTGGAGAAGTTTTTTCTGTGCAGGGTAGACGCGTCGCGGGATGTTTCACCCTGACCTGACACCAGAGGACGTGGCTGAGAACTGGGACAGCATTTTGGGGGAAACTGGGGACGGGGGACAGCTTCTGGATGTGTTCGAGCAAAGTCAATCGCGCGAAGAACGTCTGATTGAGGCCATGCTGGAGGAGGGTAAGATCCCGGAGCTCACCTGGTTGGCGCAACAGCCAGTTCAAGATTCCAATATGGTGTCGATGAAGCAATAGTAAAATGTAGAATGCCAGATACACGACGTGGAGGAAATTTGTTCATATGCCGCTAGTTCCAGGATGGAATAGGGTGCAAATCTAGGTGAGGGAAGAGTAAGCTTAATAGCCTAAATTGAGCACTGCTTGCTTTAATGACCGGTTGCAAAACTTACAAGCACAAGGAGCCCCGAGGGCCCCCGAAAATTAGGGCAGACATCACGTGCATGCTGGGCCGCTTAGGCGAGCGCCCACAAAGACTCGCCTGAGCGCGGGGGCTGCTTAGGCGGAGCAATGGCAGGTGTGCCGCCTAAACCTGGAAATCTAGGGCCGATGGGCGATCGCGTTTTCCGTTCTTCGGCACCGTACATTCTTCCGAATAATTATCTGAATGCTGGAATGACGAGCCGCGCAACAGTAGCGATGGTGTTCAACGCTATTGACATGAAGATCCTGGCCAGTGAAAGGTACAAGTACATTCCCCCTTGATCTTTCGATTCTCTGAACGGTCAGACTCTTGTGAAAGAAGCTGTCGAAGAACTACCAGAACCTGAATACGACACCTTTACGAAAAGACAGCCATGGCTCCTCTCCCGAACCTTCCAATGAACAATCCCAGATCAGATTCTGAAGCCGCTGCGCGGGATTGTGGCTGGGTGACTGTGAACGATCGAGGGTATTCAATACTGGAAAAGCCTCATGGTCTTCCTCGTCCCAAGCGCGTCATCGTAATCGGGGCCGGGGCGACTGGCATCTGCATGGCAAAATTCTCGGAGAGATTGGCAAATCTTGACTTACAGATATACGAGAAGAATGACGACGTCGCGGGAACATGGTGGGAGAACAAGTATCCTGGCTGCGGTTGCGATATTCCAGCTCATATCTACCAATTCAAGTGGGCTATGAATCCCAACTGGTCTCGCTATTACTCCTCGGCCGAGGAGATCCTTGATTACTTCAAAACCGTCGTCGACTCCCACGGGTTACAAAAATACATCAAGCTGCGACATAGGGTTGTCCATGCCAGTTGGAACTCCGAAACCGCAAAATGGGAAGTCCAAGTCCAAGGTCCTGACGGCAACATCTTTAAAGATGAAGGCGACTTTTTAGTCAATGCTTGTGGTCTATTAAACAATTGGAAATGGCCAGAAATTAAAGGGCTACATAGCTTCAAAGGCAAGCTCCTCCACTCCGCAGCTTGGGACGAGTCTACCGTTCTTGATGGGAAACGAGTAGCCGTCTTAGGCGCTGGTTCATCTGGCGTCCAAATTGTTGCGAATATCCAACCAATCGTCAAGCAGCTCTATACCTGGATACGGTCTCCCATTTGGATTAGCACAGGATTCGCGTCCAGATACGCCGGGCCGGATGGTCTAAATTTCAAGTACGGAGAGGATGTCAAGGAGAGATTCTCGTCCGACCCTACTAAACATCTTCGATATGTTAAAATGGTAGAGGCGGAGCTTGGACTACGATTTTACTTCAACTTTATCAATACGAAAGACGCTCATATGGCAGAAGACTTTTCACGCAAGGAGATGGAGAAAAAACTGTATAAACGGCCAGACCTGATTGAAAAGATTATCCCCACCGCGTATGGACCTGGATGCCGTCGCCCAACACCTGGAAATGGATACCTAGAAGCCCTTATGGAGCCAAACGTGATAACCTACACGAAAGACCTTCTGGAGGTGACCCCCACCGGCTTCGTTGATAGCGATAGGAACTATCATGAAGTCGATATTATTATCTGCGCCACAGGATTCGATACTTCCTACGTTCCACGATTTCCAGTCCTTGCAAATGGAAAAGATTTGCGAGAAGAATGGGTAACAGATCCGGTTTCATATTTATCAGTCATGATCCCAGACTTTCCAAACTACTTCGTCTCTCTGGGGCCATATAGTGCCACCAACGGTTCACTCATACCTGCGATTGAGCATGGGTGTGAGTATATGCTCAAGATTGTTGATAAATGCCAGATCGAGCATATACGATCGATTGCACCTAAGGCCGACGTTACCGCCGAATTCCGGGAACACTCGGATCTCTTCTTGAAGAGAACTGTATGGAACCAGAAATGTCGCAGTTGGTATAAGGGTGGCACCATCGACGGCCTTCCTCGTCTATATCCTTCGTCGAGAGCCCACTTTATGGAGACGATGCAACCACGCTACGAGGATTTTGAGATCAAATATGAGAATATGAATCGTTTTTACTTCTGGGGAAATGGATTCACGGTCCGAGAGCTAGATGGGAGAGATCCTACCTGGTATTTGGGCATTGTGGATGGGGAGGACCGACAACCAGATTACACAGAAGACGAAGAGGCGGTCAGGATTTCAGCAAAGCTCGAGGCATAGGATTCGCCATCTGGATTTGTGACAAGAATACTAAGTAGATCACTGGAGCCTAGGAGTTGATCTAGACATTTATCTATGATTTATCAGTTCTTGCGCAGTGACTGCACAATAAGCACAGTATCAACCCATGGCCGGGACTACAACATCTCCAAGTGGCTTTCACAACTCGTGTTGCCATTTTCCCTTCCACGTCGGAATGTCCTGGTGTATTACCTGGTGTATTACCTGACAGACTCTGGCGGGAGGCATTCCTTGACAATGACAGACTCCAACAGCGACAGCCCGGAAAACAAAGTGCGACAATGCCCCCCAAATGGAACGGTTCCGCGCCGTGGGAGCATGTCATCGCGTATGTGGGGAAGAGTTTCGGCTGTGCACGCTCGCGACCCCAAGTACGCGATTCTTGATTCGTTTCCACAAACACTCGGCTTGCGCGAAGTACTTTAGTTCACGACGACCTTTGTGCTGGCTTTTGACCGACAAGTGGCATTAGAACATTCTACCATCTTTTGAGTCCCATCTGTCCTCAATTTTGTCGAAAAGTTGGACTTCTTCTTGACGCAATTTATTACACTGGACCCGGACACACCTTGTACTTGATGGCATCTCTAACGGGCAAAGTCATCGCCATCACTGGTGCTGGTGGAGGCATCGGATCAGTCACCGCTGAACTCTTAGCGTCCAGAGGAGCAAGTCTCTCTTTGATTGACATGGACCTCAAGGCCTTGGAAGAAGTGGCCGAAACAATTCGCGCCAAGCATAAAACGGATGTCATGACAACTAGAGTGAACGTCACAAGTTCCGAGCAAGTTGACGACTGGATTGCATCGACTGTCAAACACTTCGGAAAACTGTCGGGAGCCGTCAACCTAGCAGGAACTCTCGGGAAGGAGATGGGCTTGAAGGCCGCTCACGAAGTATCAGACGAAGACTTCGATTTCGTGATGGCCATCAATGTGAGAGGGGTCATGGCATGTCAGCGTGCTCAAATCAGGAGCATCGAAGATGGAGGGTCAATTGTCAATGCCACCAGTGTGGCAGGCAAGATCGGGATTGCCAATCTGTTGGCTTACGGCACCAGCAAACATGCTGTCATCGGCTTGACCAGGATTGCTGCGGCGGAAAATGGTCACCGCAATGTGAGGGTGAACGCAGTCGCCCCGTGCGTCATCTTCTTCTAGACTTCAGAATATTCACTGCTAATCTACCTACTAATCCAGCGGGACCATCGACACGCAGATGATTACTGCAGCTCAGGAGGTAAGCATGCCCGGCAGTGACAAGCCCCGCGCCCCAATACAAAGGTTGGGAACGCCAATGGAAGTTGCGACGTTGATTGCGTATTTGCTGAGCGATGAATCCACATACACAACCGGGGCAGTCCATACAATCGACGGCGGCATGACTGCATAAGGGTGATTTGGTTCGACTTCAGAATTAACAGAAGGCATGTGGTGGAGTGATGCTCCTTCGTGATTCATCCACGTTTCATTAGCCGATATCAAAGTCACCTCCTGCTCTCACTATGGCGGCTGTGGAACCTCACTCTTATTGGTTTACCTTATTTCAAATTCGAAGACGCATAGTGAAAGAAGTACTTGGGTAAGGTACATGTTGTTGGCGGAATTCAAGTGCCTATGGCACCGCCCAAGGAGAGATCAGGTACCGGTTTGTGGCATGCCCCACGCAGAGCTTTTGGCTTTGCCCATGCATTGTCATATGCATGAGGAGAGCTACGCTCAGGCAAGAACCGCCCATTGGGTGCGAAAAGGAGTCCATGGTCGTCCTTATCTCCATTGTTATCCAGACGTGCATTTGAATGCTACGGTATGCCTACGGTATGCATAATTTATGAAATATTGTGTCGAGCCACGAAGGAGCTATTCAACAGCCACACATATCGTATCTGAGTGGCGGAATACATTTTCTTCTATCGTCATCAGTGGAATCCCACCAGACTCAATCTAGGAATCAGCCGCTTACGAAAATGGTTTGGCAGCTCGAGGGCCAAGTCGCCATTGTGACTGGCCAGGCATCGGACTCACTACAACGAGGCTCTACCTTGAAGCTGGGGCGACAGTTTTTGGCATCAACATCTCCCCCTTTCCCGATCCATCTCCTCTTTCAGAAGAGATCTCTGCAAATTTCCACTTCCACAGAGCTGATTTGACCGCTCCTGGCGCCTGCGATGAGTCAGCGGCGGCTTGTGTGTCAAAGACCGGGAGGAAGGTTGATGTTCTTGCCAACGTCGCCAGCATCATGGACGCATTTGAGGCTATCCATAACCTCAAGGATACGACTTGGGAGAGAGTGATGAGTGTCAATACAACAGTACCCATGAGACTGATGAGAGCTACTTTGACTACTGGAGGAATGCTCGAACAAAAGTCGGGCCGAATTATGAACGTTGCCAGTGAAGCTGGTATCAGTGGAGCAGCAGCAGGCATTGCCTATACCGCCAGTAAACATGCCGTTGTAAGTACTTCTTTATGGACCACCTGCGGACACTCTTTACGGCGAGATTTATATGAGCAAAATCGTGGTAGAACAGATGCTGACCGTTTTCCAAACTTCAGATCGGCATGACCAAAAATGCAGCCTTTCGCTATCGTCACGACGGCATTCGTTGTAACGCTATTTGTCCGGGCGGTTTGGAAATATCCAACCCAATTTGCGCAAGTATACCTTTTTTCTGACCTGGACCTACAGGAGTGGCGACTATCAGACCAGCGATCTAACTGAAGGGTGAATGCGATACTTGGGATCAATAGATGATAGATAACTAGCCTATAGATACCGATGTCAACGCTTGAAGAAGGCTTCAAGGTTGACAGGTGAGCTGTGCCCGTTGCTATATACATGCGAAAACCGTGCTGAGTCAGTACTGGCTAACTCAGGGTTTCTCTCAGTTTCACGTGAAGGTGTCCGTGACAGCTGTGACTCAATTGTCAGGAATGGCTCGCCAGCAAGCTATCTAATAAGTATATTAACTATCTATAGGCGTAGAACGATAGCGATTCCGAAGCTGGAGAGCTTCGAAAGGTGGTCTGTAACCCACGTGCCTATATATATCTAGCCCGTGAAAGCCTTAGCACCCTGGTCGTGATATCAATGAAGGAACATGATGAATTCTGCAGGGTCCTGGGGCCCGTCTGACTATATACCTTCGAGTAATTAACAAAGGGGTCTCGACGCTAGTAACAGGCATTCGGCAGAAGACTAGCGCGATCAGTCATTACATCTCTTGGCGGTCCGGCCAGTCACAGCGACCAACATCAAGTCCTCAATCCAGAAAGAGAATCTGGACCAGGAGAGCTTGGAAATCATTGCGTATGCTCGTCGTCCTTGCACTGGCTTTTTACACATGAGAATAGGAAATCTGATCTTCCTGCCACAGGCCGTTTCAACGCCTGAACCAGACGCCCGACGGTTCCACAACCACAACAACAGATGACATGGCAAATGCCATACTGTTCCTTTCAACAGAACAATCATGCAACATTAATGGTGTTATTCTACCTGTGGACAACGGCTGGAGCACGTGTTGATGGACATGGAGAGCTTGCTAAGAATGGGTTCAGGCAGGAACACCAGAGGATTAATGGTTAAACATCTTGATCTCATAGACTTCTTTCACTATAGAGAAACTGGAAAGCAGTGAGACATGAAGAGCGAGAGTCGACGCGAGAATCTGAAAGTGTAGAACTTGCCCCCGCCATTGACCGGCACGACCTATTTACTCTGGTTTGAGAGGCATCGGATTATCCGCCAGCAGACCACCATCGACAGGGAGATTTATGCCCGTGATCTGATCAGCCGCATCCGAAAGAAGGAAGGCAGATGCCTCCGCAATGTCTCTTGCTGTTCCGAACCGCCTCGTGGGTAGTATGCTTGCAATAAAGTCGCGGTCCATATTTTTCGGCAAGATGGGTGTTGCGGTGTGTCCAGGCGAAATGCAGTTCACCCGGATATGATCTGGCCCAACTTCAACAGCGGCGACCTTGGTGGCCTCGATAACTCCTGCCTTGGCTGCCGAATAGTGTGCCAGGAACGCGTGAGGGCGTACTCCAGCAGTACTGGCAATGTTCACAATCGCACATTTGCGGCCTTGGGCGGTTCTTTTTTTCATCGCCATCATTTCGTATTTCATGCAGAATATGACCCCGCCGAGATTCACCGCCAGTACTTTCGAGGTCGCTGCGGGTTCGATGTCGATGATGGAACCGATGCCACCCACAACCCCGGCTGCATTCACAGCCAAGTCCAGGCCGCCAAAGGCATCCTCCACGGATTTGATTGCGGCCTCGACGGAAGCAGGGTCTGAGACATCCACCTTGACACCGATCGTGCCGTTCCCAAGCTCTTTCGCTGAGGAGGCTATTAAAGATGCATTGATGTCCCCAATGGCAACTTTGGCTCCTCCTTCAATCAAGATTTTGGCCGTGGCAAAGCCGATGCCTGAGGCACCACCAGTGACAAAAGCAATTTGTCCGTCAAATAACCCCATGGTGAAAGTTGCTATTTGGAGCGCGATGATTGATAGGTCTCACTCCGTGGATTTTGGCGACAAAGAAGTATTGAAACCAGTCCAGAGCTCATACGGCTATGCTGGCGAACTTTGGTCGAGGTGAAAACGAGAAAAGTGGTCTTATTACAGTACTGTAACAACGTTTGATATACACATGAAGCAGGCCTCGCTTCAGATTCGGAAAGGCGTAAACCGGAGCTTGAGTTGACCCGAGGCTCCAGGCATCGGCAAGCATTATCCAGCAGCTGCCTGGGGATTATTCGGGGGTACTCCGGAGGAACCATTTTATCACCCCTCTTCTCTCCGCAGGCGCAACACTACTGGGTCGCTGCCCTCTGCCAGTACCCGTAAACTTCCCGGGTATCCTGGCATGGTAACATTAATTCTGCCAACGAGGCTGTCGCGTTGGGGGGTTCAAGTCTGCACTGTGGATCATCGAGACAAGATTTGTACAGGCTGCAGAAAAGATTTGGAAGGTGGTCTAAAGCATAATCGTGATTTCATTTCCATTTCGCGAGAACGTTACGCTTCCACGTGATCTCAAGAGTGTGTATTTGAATGGTCCTCTGTGAATATTACCTAGGTACATGAAGACTCCTTTCTAATGCGACACACCAAGTAACACGCTCTATTTCTCATCTACCTCCGGCAATTCTTTGCGCGTGTCGATGATGGGTACAAGTTCACCCTTCTTGTGGCCCAATGTCGTGGTAATCTCGTTGGTCATGCGGTCGTCAACATTGATCAGAAGGAAGCTCAGAAGCAATCCAAGGGCGCTGAATGAAATGGTAGCAAGAAAAACGGTGCTGTACGCACTTGCACTTGCATTCTTGTATGCCGTCGTTGCTGTAGCCAAGATGGCCGACGTAAGTCCGGGTACTTGAGCAAATGCTTGCTTGCTCCCACTGGCGAATGCTTCCATAAGGGCTGGTACAGACGAGGCTGGGAGTCCTGCTGCAATCGCGGCGCTGGGTACTCGTGTCCCGATTGTCGTGCGAGAACGCGAGCTGAGGGTAACGGTGTAGATCGTAGCAGTGGAGGTGGCAATGGCAGAGCGCATCGAGGCAGCGATACCTCCGGCGGTGCCAATCTCCTGTTGGTCGTGAATTGAAATTGTCACCAGTGTTTGGACAACCGATTCTGTCCATCCAAAGAAGAAGCAAGCCGAAATCAGCAGAGCTATTGCGCGGTTCTTTGTTTCTGGCGTGCAGGTTGCCATGGCTAGAGATTCACATTAGCCCATTGCTTTACTAATGGCTGGTCGCAGCAACTTACATGCAAGCAATACACCGCCGCAGAAGAAGCAGACTGTCATCTGATACTTAACCTTGCCAATCGGCCTGGCCAAGATACCGCCACAAATCTGCCCCAAGAGTGTGCAGGAGCCAACGATGCACGAGAGGTAGCCACCGTACATGGGATCTCCGTGGTTGTAAAGGACCGAGACCATCATTGGCCACACAATGGCGAACGCGTAGTATGATGCTGACCCGATACCGATGGAAATTGAGGCGGCCACGTATGCTCGGTTCGTCAAAAGATGCTTCGGAATAAGTGGTTGTTTTGGCTTCGCGAGCCAGACCCAGAAGCCCAGCGCAATCAGGCATGCGGCTCCAACAAGAAGAGTCGACAGGGTCTGACGAGATTTCCAGGGGAAAACAGCGTCTCCTCCCATCGACAAGCCCATGAGGAACAACGTGAGGCCAGCTGTGTAGAGCAAAATCCCCACATAGTCAAGCTCTTTGACAAAATCGATTCTGCGCTTTCCGGCATGTTTGTTAGAAAATTCTGGTGGCCAGTAGAATAAGATCCAGCAAAGCAAGGCGACGGCGTTCATGCAGATGAGGAGGTAGTAACAACCCCTCCAGCTGACACCGGGGTAGCGCGTGACAAACGCCTCGGCAATGGCGGGGCCAAATCCTGAGCCAGGAACGCAGAAGAAGTAGAGCATTGAGACCACCCAGAAGCGTGCGCCCATGGGTACCAGCTCTGCCGTGATGTAGCAGAAATTGATTTGGGTACAGGCACCCAGTCCAATCAATATTGTACCGCCAATGAGTGTGTTGATGGACTGAGCTGTGGCGGACACGATGCTACCGAGGAGAGCCAAGACAGTGCCTCCAATGAAGTAGTATCGACGACCGAATATATCCGAGAGCCTACCGATCAGGGTAGAACCGACGGCAGTGCACAGAGTGTAGGCAATCGAGACCCAGGTCAAGTAGGGACTTGGTCCGATGTCAGCGTCGATGACGCTCAGAATGGGTGCGGCCAAGCCAAAGCCGGCGACACCTGCTCCCAAGCCCATACCGATGGCAAAGAGACTGCCAAGGAAGTAGGTACTGCGATAATACCCTGGGGGGACGGTGTCCGTTGTGGCCATGAAGCCATGTAGCTGTTTTTCGTTTGCAACATTTTGAAGTTCGCTGTCGGAGTCGCGGTTGGACAGTTCGAAGTGATTGCTTGCGACGGTTTGATCGTCCTTATTTTTGAATTCTTCCATGATGAGCTGAAAGATGCTTCAGTGGCTTCAGTGGCTTCAGTGTCTTCGCTGAGACTCTGAGACTGTGAGTCTAAGAGACGGTGGGAATTGAAAACGAAGGCAGTAGCTTTTACCTCGACACCGAACACGAGAGCCTTGCAGTCCCAGATTTTCCCCGCAGTTGTACTGTCCAGCCTAGATCGTCCCAGACTAAGGAGATAATACGAAGGACGAATGGCAGAATAGTAGTGGAAAATGAAACTCCGCAGTGTGCGGAGAGCGTGGAAATCGTGGAAGTCGTGGAAAGGCGGAAAGGCGGAAAGGCCGGATTGAGGAAAGTGTCGGAGAGTCTATTCTACCATCCCAGTATTTCTATTGGTTACCAAAAATCTTTGATCGAGATCTCGGAGTAAGCTGCACGATAGTGCGCTTGCAGGATACGGGTTACGTCCACCAACCAAATCACGTCTATAGCCCGCGCTAGGTGAGCTCTGATTTGCTGCACGAACAGTAGCGAAATTGAAGCAAAGCCGCTGATTGGTTGAATAGTAGGGGCAGCTATGGGAGCGGGTCTACTTGCACCAATTAGACTGCTCCCAAACTATTCTAGAGAAGGTGCGATAGTAGACACTCCTCCATCTACGCAGCACTTCTTTGGCTGTTGAAGTTCGGCTGGACCACTGGCACGCAACCTCAAATCATCTCCAAGCCAAGAACCGAATTCCTGTATGATTTGGTGAGCAGCTCGCGGCGCCACTTCACTCGTACCGGCCCAAATACCTGAACTTCGTGGTTCACACACCTCACCGACGGATGAACCGTCCTTCCAACTCCCTCCGTTCTTATTGAGAAGGATTCACCAGTCTTACTGTGGACTTGTGGTGAGTAAGAAACCACTTGGTATCCCGCCAGTGAATCCTCACCTCACTAGGCATGCGAAGGTACCCGATTCAAATAGAACATCCAGAGTATACCGATCAGTCAGCCCCAAATAGCTCCAATCGCAACCATCACAAATAAGAGAAGGCCTCTGAGAAGACAAAATGACCACCTTTTACTAGTCATATGAATATAGTGCTAGAGATAGTACGTCAGCGAGAAGGGAGGGTCATCACGCCACCGAACTTGAACAGAATCCGCGAACTCTGTGAGCAAGCAGACCAGTACTAGTATCTGACCGTTGATCCAATCTTGATTGTCTGGCGTAGGGGTGTCACATTTGAACATCTCCTCCGAGGCCATGTAAAGTACAAGCCGGGGTTTATCGTTTTCCCAAAAGCTGTTGGAGCTGGTGGCAATGCTGTTAAAGGAAATGCAGTTCACGTCCAATCTCTGAACTTCGTCAACTTCGGGTTTAAAGAACAGTTGAAGTACTTTATCCACGTGCAGGATCACAAACTGTATTGTGCATACTTAGAACACGCTTTTCCCATCTCGTTTTACTGCCTTGTTGTCGTCCACGATCGGGTAGTCAACACCAACGTTGTACACCACACTGCTCGTGTCAACAAATTTCGCCTCGTCTGGGCGAAAAGTCTCCATATAGATAGGGTCGGCAAAAAAAGATGCCAGGTCTTCAAATCTGTTCACAAGTCAGTAGTATTTCAGGGACTTCACGAGGCTTCTGCTTTACCTTCGAACCAGGAAGTCCGCAATCCCATCGTATGGTGACGAGCCCCCAAAGTATTCCCCCAAAGCCTTGTACTCAGGAGTGACGTGAAACTAGATGTGTATGTTACAGCCTTTGATATCCAATGAAATTGAGACATCTTACCTGGTTGTATCTCACGATCCCGTAGCGGACAAGCGTATCTTGGACGAGAGGGCCGTGATTGTTCGCCTAATATTTGTGGGATTCTTCTTCCGAAACGCCAGGTTTGCGTTTGACCATGAATGAAACCCAAATGAGCTTCTCTTGAGACATGGTATGACGAGCGCTGCAGGTCTTTCTCAATATCTGGAAGCAGCCTGGAAGATGGGTGGGACTCAGAGTGATGCGAAGAGGTATTAGGAGAGGTTGCAAAATATTTCACTCGACAAAGACAATCTTTTGATTATGAATTGACTCAATATTATCAGCGCCAGACCACTAGTAGTTTGAAGAATATTGGAAGCCAACAGGTACTTGAAGACCCAATGGTGTAGCTCTACTTCACTGGAAAAGGTGGAAGCCGAGCGCTTCTCATTGGCTGAGTGCGGCGGAAGCATTCAGCTCTCGCGGTCTGCAAAGCAATAAAGTGCTCAGCATGCACGAGGCAGCTGTGTATTATATACATGTTCTTGATCTACTATAGCTTGAGCTTTTCGCATCAAGTAGCCCGGAATCTTAAGCCCTCAATAGCTGTCCACCGTTCACCTGCCAAACCTGACCTGTCACAAAAGCCGCATCCTCAGAGAGAAGATACATGATCAAAGAAGCTGGTTCACGTGGTTCTGCCATGCGCTGAAGAGGGAGACCGCTGATCAACTCCTGGATAGTAGGCTCATTGGCGGCTGCTCTCTTGCCAGGTTCGGTGGCGATCATTCCAAATGAGACGGTGTTGGCCCGAATCTTTTGAGGTCCCCAGGTGTTTGCCACATGCCTGGTCAGCACCTCAACACCTGCTTTCGAAGCTGAATATGCAGGATATAGAGGTTGCCCGCTGAATACCGCAGCAGATGAGATGTACACGATGTTGCCCTTGCCTCCCTTGAGGAAATGAGGGATTGCGTATCTTGTCGAAAGGGCAGAGCCGATGAGGTTCACCTCCAAGGTCCGTCGCCAAACGCCCACTTCCATCGAGTCCACCCCGCGATCTCGGCCCAGGACCTCTGGCCGTAGATCGGCTCCCATGTTAATCAAACAATCCAGGCCGCCCAGTGTGTCTGCCGCACCGTCCACGAGTTGCTTCACAGAGCCTTCTTCAGCAAAATCGAACTCCGCCGTGTGAGCAGTGCCACCTGCCGAGCGAATCTGGTCGGCTAGCGCCTGTGCACCATTGATATTGATGTCGCCGATGACGACTTTCGCCCCTTGCTCTGCCAGTAGTTTTGCCGTTGTCGCCCCAATTCCAGTGGCACCACCAGCCATCAGAACGCGGAGACAGCGAAGTCCGTTCATCGTGACAGAAAGTAATGTGGAGATGGTCAGAGGTGGGCCAATGTAGACAGATTTGATTCACCATGTACGGTCGAAGATACTGAGTGAACACAAGAGTGGAAACGCGACAAGCAAAGATGGCTAGAATTATAACCGAAGCGAAGTGTTGCCGAGTGATAGGTGCTCTTGAACAGAGTGTCAGGACCTTCCATCCACCGTCTAGGTAGTCTTAGTCTAATTAGTCCATCGTCCACTAATGGTAGAGCTCAACTCGCATCTTTCCACCGAAGCTTGTCCTCGCTTATGTTTTGTAGCTTGGGCCGTAAATGCTAACATAAATAATGGAGAAAACGTATGTTGATCGCCAGCTTGACCCTGCTGCGCAACTCAAGTGAACAGGCAGGAGTGGATAGCTTTCTCTTACCCTGTGCTTGACCTCCTTTTGCACCACCAGAGCAAATATTCTGCGAAGGTGGCTAGCGGCGGAACGTATCTCGATTTGCTATTCCCGCTTTCTCGTGGGCTCTACACGTTCCGCCAAAAAGTTCCAGCTGAGCTGTTAGTGCAGTAACTCTGCGGATGCGATTTGCTCGTGATTGGACCGAGATTTACGTGGAAAGAGCGATGCTCTAGCTGCTATCAATTGTTTCGTCTACCTGTCTAAATCTCCCGAGATAGGCAGGTGCGAGGCTGCGACTTCGATCCAATCTCAATTGAACAACAGCTCAACATGTACTATGCCTTTAGACAGACAAGAGGCCCAGCTCTTTCCACTCTTCATCGGACTTCCTCTGAACATCGTCAACATGAGCGCCATACTGTACAGCGTCTGTGCCAATCAAGAGGCGAACTGGCGGTTTCGGTGTCGCGTACAATTTCTCGAGGATGGGCCCGAATTTCTCGGGGAGAGACGGTTCTTTACCGTTGTTGTCACGGATCAGCTTGCACAGGGCCCCAACGGTATCTTGGTAGGCATCGCTGATCGGGGGGATAGTCATTGATGAGCCTGCCCAGTCTGTTCGGATCCCACCAGGCTCCAAAGACGTGACTTTGATGTTCAAGGGACCCAGCTCAGAAGCCAGGACACTCGAGAAACCACTGACCGCCCATTTTGCGGCTTGGTATGCAGACAGGCCTGGGGTACCAAGACGGCTACCTAGCGACGAGACATTGAAAATATAACCGGAGCCCTGCTGCCGCAGGATCGGAAGGATGGCTTTGGTGACGTTGACGACGCCGTTGAAATTGACATCTATTTGTTCATTGAAGCTTTCGAGAGTGCTATCTTCGAACGAGGCAGGATTGGCGTAGCCAGCATTGTTGACGAGAATATCGATGCGCTTGAACTTGTTCACCGCGGCATGGACGGCCGCCACAGCAGATTCGTAGTTGACCACATCCAGGCTGTAGAGGAGAACCTTCGACTTTCCATATTTCTTGAGCACGTCGCTCAGAACGTCTTTGTTGCGTGCAGTCGCGACGACCGAGTCGCCCTTGGACAAAGCATATTCGACAAGGGCTCTCCCAAGACCTCGGGAGCTGCCTGTCACAAACCAAACTCTGGACATGGCGAGTCTGCAGGGCACTGTGAAGGGTTTAAAGAAGTCTTGAAATCAGATGAATATGTAACCTCCGTCTTATGCACAACCTGAAATGCTTTTTGACTTTGCAACGTGATGCAGCGCACTCTTGCTGTTATATGGCAAACCGCAAGGCAGAGAGCTCGACATGTGACGCCAGTGCAGATCAGGTACAACTATGGAGATGCCTATCTTCACTGACTGCGGCAGGAGCGGAAATCTCAGTAGCGAGTAAGCTGCTGTTTACTTTCTGAATGCGGTCGCGTGGCTCCCCGTATTGGAATGCAAGCTCCCGGTACCACCGCATCTTTCTCTGCTGAGCCCTGCAGGTAAGTGGACACACCCGAGTCAACGTCTCTTTTCCCCTCAAGGGTGCAAATGTTATCCTCCCCACCACTTTATCCTTAGGCCATCCACCCTCTCGAGTGATCTGTGCCAAACGATGATCGGAGATAAAGTGGTAGCTTGTCAGCCAGTTGCACTAGCAAAGTGTTCTTGATTCTGTCCGAAGTCGTTCGTGCCGTAACGGCGGACGAACGGTCAAGGCACTTTTGTGTATCCGGACCACCACGGGCAGAGCTGGCCGCAGAAGTATGAATACGAGGAGGAAAAATGAATTGTTTCTACGGGTAACTTTACCTACTACCACGGGCTCAAGAATTGTTGGACTCGACGCTGCTTGCGAATCTGCTAAACAGAGATGTCTCCTTCCGCCTTCCGCTAAAATTACAGCACATCTAGATTGTCAAGTTCTCTCTATTTGGTCCGGCCGTAGTTCAACTGAAGTTGGACACGACTCAAATCATTGGACTAGTTATTTATCTAACCCCTCTCATTTGCTATCATACCAACTTGGTACGAGAAGCCTTCCCGTCTCACAACGAATCCCGTGGGCTTCCTTCTTTGTTAAGTAGTAACCCAACTCTTCTGCATACGCTTTGGGTGAATACATATTTCCAGTCTCTTGAATCTCCTCTTGACAAACCACCTCCACGTCAACTGTCCCACGATGCCAAAATCTACCAATTCGGTCATATTGAAGCACGTCGTCCCCATTGGTGACACAGTGACCTTGGATGCATTCAAAATTAGTGAGTCCGAGCTTCCTCAGCTTGCAGACGGACAAGTTCTCCTCCGGCCCATCGCTTTCTCTGTCGACCCAGTACAAAGAACTCGCATTACAGGGAAATCACATTTTGCGTTGCTGGCTTCAAATGTCCCAGGACAACCGATAAATGGCTTTGCCTTGGCACGAGTGGTTGAGTCGCGCCATCCAGAATTCAAGGCTGGACAGCTGCTCGAAGGCATGTTTGATTGGTCCGACTATGTGATCTGGGATGGAAAGCCCAGCCCATTTGTGAGATCGGTGGAGCTGCAGATCGCCAAGCCATCTTATGCACTCAGTGTACTAGGAATCACTGGTCTCACTGCATATTTCGGTATTGTCGAAGTCGGGAAACTTCAAAAAGGGGAGACCATTGTCATCTCGACCGCTGCAGGTGCCGTGGGGTCGGTTGCAGGAGCAATCGCTAAAATCAAAGGTGCAAAAGTCATTGGCTTGACAAGCTCTCGAGCCAAGCAGGATGTGCTCATCCAGAAGTTGGGGTTTGACGCCGCCCTAAACTACCGCACAGATGATTTTGTCGAGCAGCTTTCCGCCGCAACTTCAGGTAAACTCGACGTTTACTTTGACTGCGTGGGTGGTGAACTCTCGCAAACAATCATGAAACAGATGAAGCGTCCGGCGCGGATTGTCGAGTGCGGACAAATATCGACATATAACGATGAGAAGTATGCTTGGATGACGAATTTGACACCAATCCACCTAAATGGGTTGCGACTTGAAGGTTATACACCTATGTTGTTCAAGGATAAGTGGCCAGAAGCGTTGGATCAGCTTCAGAAATGGATACGGTCTGGCGAGCTCGTGCCTCTGGAGACAGAAATGGTGGGTCTAGAGTCCCTTCCCCGGGCCCTTGTTGCCCTACTAAGTGGCGAGAACGTTGGAAAGATGCTCGTTACAATTAAAGAGTAAATCTCATAGACTCGCAATCTGCCGAGTAAGGCAGTGAATCTGATATTCATAAAACTTACAAGTTGTTTTTTCTGGTCTTCACATCAGAAATTGATATTTGCAGAGCTCGACCTTCCCTTTCAATGCTCCAGTAAACGCAAAGTAGGAGCAGGCGGAAGGTGGAAGGTGGAAGGTCGAAGGCGGAAATTAACTTTTGAGGCAACTCCATATAGAGGGTTGCCTTCTGTCCTCTCGTTTCTCTCCACGACAATCGCAAAGATGGTTCACAACTACAGAATCGTGCGGATGTTACATCCGACTCACTTGGTACTTGACCTGGATGCCGCAGAGAAGTTTCTCTTGGAAGTTTTTGGCAGGAAATGTGACAAAATCGAGGCGTATCTGCCGCCACCGGACAAGGCTCCTGGATTTCCCCGGGACTATTCAATCACGACAATGATTGCCGATGTCTGGTTCGATTGCATCGATCCTCGCAAGTATGTAGTGGATGATCAGCATTTCATCGAGCCGGTAGACCAACCGCATTTGCTTGGAACGGGATGGGCAGTCGAAGGTATCCGCGACCTTTACCAGCGATTCATGGATAGTGGCATCCGCAGCACCGACCAGAGAAATCGTATAGGTACTAGGGACAGAATCCCTCAAGTGCAATTCACGCCAAAAAGACCCATCTTTCTTACCCTGCCCGAAAGCACCGGAACTCGGTACCAGGTATCGCCTGCTGAATACATTGGGAAGCTTGACGCACGTACCGATCCATCATGGAAGCTGCCGCCAGTATCAGCTGATGATCCACTGTCCATTGAGTTTTGCTCCCATCACACAATCCTCACCAAGAATCTCGAACGACAGACTCATGTACTCGTGGACATCTGCGGCGGTAAAATCATCCATACCGGTCGCAATGAAATTCTCAAGACGGATAGCACATATGTCCTGTTGGCAGACGCAATTTATGAACTCGGCGTACCATATGAGGAGGGTTCCTTTGCCATGAATGATTTGAGAAGCCGAAAACCACTTGACTCCTACCATTCGATCACTTTCAAAGTGCAAGATTTGGCAAAGGTAGAGAAACATCTTCGGGACAAGAAGATACGACTTATCCACCAAGACGAAACCACAATTGTAACCGATCCATCAGACGCCATTGGCATTCCGTGGGGATTCACCACGAAACGTGTGCCGAATGACTCGAGATACTGAGTACCCCCAGAGTCCTCTTCACGACAGCAGACTCATCAGGGGAGCCTTGATACGGCAAGACTTCTGGATCATTTCCTCCACGGATTGCCGTTCTCGTTACTTGTTAACAGCGATTGGACCAAGTGGACTTCTCGTTCATACAAGGACGAAGTTGGAACCAATTCAGAGAAGAGAAATTATGATCAAATTTACTCCATGGATAATTTGCCTAGCACACACAAAATACTGCAAAGTCGAGACACAAATTTGATGGAATTCCAAAGAAGAAAAAGATACGGTTCTTGGATACTGAATCTCTACAAGGACCGTTAGGGAACTGCACGAGGTGTATGGTACGTCGACAAGTGCGTCTTCAAGTTGGTAGGGTTGGATGCATTCTGTCTGAGGCAGGAAGAGAAGAAATCTGCACATATCTCCAATTCCGGGACCGTCTAGGAGATCTACTTGCTCCTGCGTACCCGATAGCAATAAAATGCGTAGAGAATACTTGCCTGAGAGTTTCCCAGGTCAAAATGCAGGCTTCGCCACCGCGTCTACTCGTGCGAGGAGGTTGGTTGAATCGCCCATCAGGCAGGCAGTTCCAGGACCACTGATCAAGCAAATGCACATTTCGGCCCAATGTTTCCCTGAGAAGCTGGAAATGATCCTATCGGAGTAGTTTGCCCCGAAATTCCACCTCTGGCATTTCCGCCTCGGTTCCACCATTATTACCCTTCATACCTCCAGTGAGCCTAACCGGTGTCTTAGGCTCCAGACATGCGCAAGTTCAGAATTGATGCCTTTTACTACTCGATGAGATTAGGCCGGCTGATGCGACGAGGGAGGCGAAACAAATCAGCCCTCGTAAGTACACATTAATCTTTCTTACAGCAGACAACGTCCTGCAGAGAAGCCTGTTCATCCTCGGGAAGACGAAGAAGCAGAATCACCACGGCTCAACCAAAAATGGGCGAGTACTTCTTCGAAGACGAGATCGATCTCGATGACAACACGATTTGCCCACAAGATCTCCTCTTGTTAAAATGCGAAGACTCGGAGAAACAACCTCATATTGACTTCATTACTATTCCCTCTGATGATTTAGAAGAGCCATCAGATTCGGGGAAGTCGCTGGGATCGGATGTTGAGTCTACATGTGACGAGACCGAATCGAACGATGACTGGCTTGAAGTTCACAATCTTCTCTTCCAATCTGGTTGGTCGCCACTCGACATGTCCTCAACCAAAAGTACTTGCAATCGGCTAATACCTCTAGCAAGTTGGGCTCGAGCGCCTTCCAGAATGCTGGAAGTTGGTGAAGAAGAGGTTAAAAGAAAATTCGTTGGATCATTGCAATCAATCAGTAAGCGACCGAGACCAAAACACCCGAAACAACCTTCAAGACAATTTCCTGAGCTCGACATTCCAGACTGCAGACCCCCCAATCTCGAAGGACATTCAAGACCAGTTGATACCTTTGTATTTCCGACAGTTCCATCCAGTCTGCCCGGCCGTGGACGAAACTGAGTTTCTCAGATGGCGTCAGAAATCTAAAGAGTCTTCATTTGATGATCCTCAACCGATGCAGTTACTACTGGTTTCGATGATGTTTGCGGCATCTCCCTATCTGGACGAGAGTCTATTGTCCCAAGGGCCATATTCGTCTGTCAAGTCACTACAGGAAGCGCTGTTCACCTCTGCACAGTCTTTGTATCACAACTTGGAGACAGAGTTCCTGGGAGCGGAACCTCTGGCACAAAGTGCATTGCTCCTCAGCTACTGGAGCAATAATGATTCCACGACCGAGGTCAACAGCTACTGGTCGGACGAAGCAGTGCGTCACGCGGTGGCTGGAGGAATGTCTGCTCTGTCGTCCACGGGTCGAAGAAGGATCATCTGGTGGTGTTGTCTAATCCGAAACCGCATGATATCCCTTGGTCTACGTCGCTTCACTCGGCTCGAGACGCGGCCGGACGGTCGTCTACCCGAAACAACGGACTTTGGAGAGGAGGTGTCACGACCGCATTTCACGTCTCCTGAGTCGAAAATCTACTTCACCCATGCATTCGCTTTGATGTGCAGCTTGACAAGGATCATGGCTGAGTCTGTCTGGCTGCCGTACCGCGAATACAACAAGCCTTGGTCTTTGCCAACCGACCGGCGTGCTTTTCGCCTGATGAAAACGGTTGGTCAACTGGACGAGGAGCTCGAAGCCTGGACCTTCAACTTCAATCGGGTGTATTCTACGATTCGCGAAATGGCTGTACCTAACGCAGATCTGGTGATTTTCCATCTCATTGGACTGATGCACCAGTATGTCCCGGGGAATTTGCTGCTCTGCATATAGCGAATTGCTAATCAGGCGCTGAAACAGGTTCGCAATCTCCATCCTGTACGAACCCTTTTTGAGACTTAGCGAGAGCAACGGTGAGCAGGTGTGGTTTGTCAGAGACCTTGCTCTCCTGAAGATCAAAGAGGTGTCCAAAAACACAGCTGCCATCACTGCGTCGATGTTACAGTTTGCAAAGCCAAAAGACTTGCCAATCATCTTGTAAGCAGCGTCTCCCATCGACTCTACTAGTATTTCCATTATTTTGAAAAACAACCAACAGTCTGACTTGATGGTAGACCTCCGTGGATCATTCTACCCATTGCGTTACACCTTGTCCAGCTCAGTGCGCCCGAGATCCTCGAAATCAAAACGCAAACCACTCAGCAGCTGGGATACTTGATGCGGGCACTTCATTCTTTGACATGCAGGTACGAAAGTGTCAAGTTGGTCACCAGGATCATCGACGCAATCATTGTTTTCGTCAGGGATTCTCAAGAGGAATCACCACTAACCAGGGCGCAAGCCGTGTGCTCGCAGGAGCGTGCTGTTCAGGCTCGAGATCCACACCTCGGGCAGGAGAAGGTCATCACCCGCGTGCTGGAGATTATCAGGAACGGGCTTGCGGAGGGAGTCACTCAGGCATGAAGCTGGTAATGTGGATCTCTCATGAAGACCAGGTAACAGTGTTTGAATGCTCAACCGCACGGGGTATTAACACTATGTCCAGCAGCTGTAGCTGTCATGATACCAATATCAACAGATAAAAAAGAACTATTTGATGCCGCCATAGGTGAAGTTGTCCCAAATGTCAATACCATTATCGTCAAACATGAACGGAATATCCGGAGGCATTTGCAATGGATCTTGGAAGAGATCGTGATAGCCATTTGGGAAGGACAACTCCCACTCAGATTGAACATTGGCACTGTTCCGCGCAGAATTTTGAGCCTGTCCAAAAGATGAAGCTGGCAGCTGAGTTGAAGATGAGCCGGACGAAGTGGGCGGAAAAGTACTAGCTCGGGCATTTTGAGGTCTTCGAAGCTCGATGGCATCTCGGGCTGCTTTGATGGGTCGCTGCATATGTTGGAGAACGTGCCGAGCCAGGAAAGATCCTTGCGCAAAGGTCTCCATCAGCTTCAGGGCCTTTTGAAACAGAGTGATGGCCGGGCGAGTCAACTCCTCCCCGTTGTCCTGCCTCACAATGATGCAGGTCATGGGGACAAGGGCTCCGACCAGGTGTTGCAGATACGCGTGGCGTGCGCATCGGTTTGTCCTCTGCGACGTGTAGAAGGTCTCTACTACTGAAACGACCTCCCTGGCTATGTCGATGCAGGATTTTGCGACGTCGATTCCGTACGTGAGGCTGATCATTTCCTCTCGCCGTAACAGCATCCGGAGATATAGCAGGCGGAGATGCAGCACAAAGCCTTGCTGTTGGATGAAGGCGGGAGCTCCGTCAACGACCTGCTTAGTTTCAGGGCTAGGAGGCCAGCGTAGGGAGATTGGCATGTCTTGCGATAACTTGACTATCTTGTTATCCATTGTGGTAATGAACTCCTGACTGACTGGCCTCCTAGCTCGAACGCTAAACATTGTTTCCCAAATCTCAGAAGAGAGCTTGGTCAACTTGATGATCTCTAGGAGGCTAGTAACAGGAGAGGTTGAAGGCATTTCCAGGAGGGCAGGGCAGTTCGGGTATAACATGCGATCATCGACGCACTTAGGTAGACCAACATTAAAATCTGACTCCCGGAGAAACTCCGGAACACCACGTGTTTGAGCGACGTTATGGTTAAGGCAGAAAACTGACCAGAGAACCCGTTGCCGGTAGGTCCGATCGTAGAATTTGCAGTTATCGCCCCACGACGCTTCATTATGCAGACCAAACTGGAAGCATAGTCGAACGGTTGTTCCCATCGTATCATAGGCCGAGTTAACGAGACCTACATACATCAGGTACAATGTCTTGATAATCAGAGTCTGAATAGTCAGAATATTGGCTTTTTCTAGCCACGTAGCGTGATTGAGGAGCTTCTCCCCACGACAAAACTCCTTCCAGCCGGGTAGATGCTCACAATGCGCAGACATGTCGTACAGGACGTTCACTGCTGCCATGATGAAGCTGAGGAGGGCGGCAAGCTGCACAGTGCAGCTCTTCGTGAGGCAGTTCGAGTCATTAGCGACAAAGGCAGAAAATTGTGCCCGTAGATGACCCTCGTTCATGCACGGGTAGTATGGTTGTATGTTAGTAAAGAACATGTCTAGCGACTCGTGTATCTTGATGGGATCCTCAGACCGCGTCTGTTCCACGATCTGATCTATGTCGCGATAGGTGTCGATCATCGTAGCATTCGGCTGGGTTGTTGAGCCTCCGACAAATCCATTGGCGACCGTAGTCTCGGTGCCTTGACTGCGAGACACCACCTTGTTGAGGAGGTCAATCTGTTGGAACAAGGCGTTACCAGATGTGAAATTGGTGTTGCGCTCAAAGACGCTTTCTTGGTGAGACGACTGCTCGCTCTCTATGGTACTGAAGGGAGTTTGACCATGGTTGTTGCCGGAGGTGGTTCCGGCTGGCGACTGTTGTAGCAGTGTTTGTTGGTTATCATGGGGCTGAGTTGTCACTCTTCCTGGCGAGGTCTGAGGATTCCCGGAAGTGTCTTCGGTCTCTTGTGTGCGTAGGGCCACGTTCTCATGGTTTTCAGTCCCTGTGACCTCGTTGCTTGCGCTTGGCCGGGAACTGCTTCCGTTACTAGGCGCGGTGTCCCATGCTGTAGACAGGCTTCTCGGCGGCCGTTCGTTTGCTGCCCTCGAATGTCTCAATCCTCGTGGTTGCGAGAATACACAATCGGTGCCCCAGTGTCGACAATTTCGACAGACATTTTCGCCACTGCATTTCCTCTTTCTGCGCTGACACTCGTTGCAAGCGCGGGATGTGTATTTATCGCGGACTCTGGTTGCACTGGGAAGCATGGTGGCGGATCCTTTCGCAGGCGGTGGAGAGATTACAGCATTGGAAAACGTGGTGCGACTTAGGAGAGAGCTTTTCCCTCTTTACGCATGATTTCCGCCGGGCAAGATTTGGTGGGTTTGCGCCCGTGCGCTCGTACCCCGCATGGAGCTGTCAGGCTGTTGTGGAGGGTTCGGGCCATTAGTCAACGCTAAACGCATTTCGAGTTGAGCTAGTCCCCTTAGTGCGCATTCCTATTGGTCATATTAGTTCGAGTAGCATTCCTTCTCGAGCGATCTCTCTGGGTCGTCCTTCCCGACCTCCCGGACCTTCTCGGGGCTCGATAGCTGAGCTGCAGCTTTCCTGCAGGGTGTGACTCGGCTCCCAGGATAATAAGGGACCGATTAACGAATGAGCATAGCTTCAGCGCGGAAGATGAAACACGCCCTATCCTAGCAGACGTGACATGGGGAGTGAGACCCTGTTTAGTCCGTACCTACTCGTACCAGCGATGAAAGATCACAGCTTGGTTCAGGCTCGGCGCCAGCCCAGGGTGAGACAGTCCGTGCAGCTCACTGCTGCTCCCCCACTAGCACGATGCCAAGCATACCCTTTGTACTTTCTTCAGCCTTGATCGAAACGAAAGATGGATTGCTTGGCTGGTATGCCAACATGCTTCATCGTCTATAGCTTTGGTCTAGAGTTTCCTTGCATCTCCAGGGCATCTCGCTTAGCCCAGTCCCGCATGACCTTTCTCTGGATCTTGCCACTCGCCAGTTTCGGCACCTCGTCGATGAATCTGATGCCGCCAACAAGCTGTTTGTGCTTGGCTACCCTTCCCTTCATCCACTCTTGAATATCGTCCGCCTTGACCTTGCCCTTGTAGTCATCTTTGAGAGTGATGTAGGCTCTCGGCCACTCCTCGTTGTTTAGAGTGATTCCAACCACGGCTACGTCAGCAACAGTCTCGTTCTCCAGGAGAACGGCCTCCAGCTCGGCGGGAGCGACCTGCAGGGCGTTGACCTTGATCAGCTCCTTCTTCCTGTCAACGATCCAGAACCAGTTGTCCTTGACCACCGCGATATCTCCAGTCTTCAGCCATCCTTCACTGTCAAGGATTTCTTTAGTTGCCTCTGCATTCTTCCAGTATCCTAAGCAGACCTGAGGGCCGCGCACAAATATCTCTCCAGGCTGGCCAGGCTCAACTTCCTTGCCGTCATCGTCAAGCAGTCTACACTCAGTGTTCGGATCGAGAAGTCCAACGCTTCCAGAATCGTCGACCCGCCCGCCGGGGACGTGAATGGCGCCACAGGTCAGCTCAGTCATCCCCCAGCCCTGAATGATGTTAACACTAAAACGCTTTGAAACGGCATTTTGCAGCTCTTTTGAAAGCGGTGCCGCGCCACACAGAATATTTTTCAGACTGCTCAAGTCATATTTGGAGGTCTCGGGTCGCTTGTCAAGCATGACTAGAATAGGTGGCGCCGATTGAAGATGGGTGATTCGGAACTGCTCCAAGGCCTTGAGGAAGTCCTCGTACACGAATTTGGCCATGATGTAGACCGGAACACCCAACTTGGGCGCCATGACGCACATGTATAGTTGTCCTAGTTTGGTCAGATTTCTAGCTCATCGAGGATAGAACTGAGTGACTGACCGTAAGAATGATACAAAGGCAGAAACCCTAGCCATCGCTCCTGGCGTCTGGCAGGGGGAGTATAGGAAGTTTCCAGGTCTCGCATAACTATGGTTTGTTCGCAATTGGCAATGATATTGTAATGGGAAACGCAAACGCCCTTTGGCAATCCAGTCGTTCCAGAAGAATAGTTTATCGTTGCGAGGGTGGTCCTGAATGCTGGACCCGTGGGCTCCCAAGCATATTCAGGAGTCGAGACTGCAATCTCTCGCCAATCCTGAATGCCGTGGAGTGAAGTGCAAGGCCGATCCGAGAACTGGAAAACCTGCTCTCTGCTCAAGCCAGCCCTTTGCGCTGCGTCAACCGTCTTCTCTATCAGGGAAGGATGAGCAAAGACGGCTCTGGCTCCGGTGTTTCGGATTTGATACTCGACCTCTGAGACAGTGTAGATGGGGTTTGCGCCGCTGAACACTCGTCCAGCACCCACGATGCCCAGATATGCGACCGGGACGAAGATGTGATTGGGGGAGAGTATCATGACTGCTTCTCCCTTTTGGATCTGTAGTTTGTCTAGTAGGGCACCCAATCGTTTGATCCATACCAATGCCTGTCGCGGCGACAAAGAGTTGGTTGGGTCCTTTGCATCGACCCATATTGGCTCATCTGAGGGCTCAGTCCCTTCTGGGAACAAGTACGACAGGATGTTGGCCTCTGGAATGTCCAGAGTTGGATAAGGCGACCTGTAGACCATCTTGACTAGCATTCAATAATCATCGTTCGACACAGCGATGCGGCATCAAATCTGTCGTCGCACTTCACTTATAACTGAACCCCAAATTCCGCAGCTCGGGGCTCTACGGGCTTCAACTGGAGATACATTTACGGGCCGAGATCCGAGGCCTCACCCCGGAGCAGCGCCTAAATCGCCTGGCCCGAACGTATTATTTTTGTTGGAGGATCAACAACCTGGAACAAGTATTTCGACACCTGCCATGATCTCCAGAATCTAGCCTTGAGTCATCTACACAACACACGTCAGTCACCATGTCGGAGTTACCCAACTTCGATAACTTCTTCAACCTGGATGGAAAGGTTGCGTTGGTCACAGGCGGTAAGCGTGGCCTATCGAGGGACAAGGCATTGACACTGACGCGGGATAGGATCTCGTGGTTTGGGGCTTCACGCAGCAACGGCCTTTTTAAGAGCAGGAGCCAAAACAGTGTTTATCACGGCTCGGAAAACGGAGGGTCCCCAGGGCATCAACCAAGCAGTCGAGAAATTGAACGCTCTCCCATATATCAAAGGCGAAGCTATTGGAATCGCCGCAAATGTCGCACAAGAGAAAGAAGTCCAGAAGCTCTGCGAAGAGGTCAAGAAGATCGAGCCAAAGCTTCATATTCTCGTCGCAAATGCTGGAGCAACCTGGGGCGGCCCGTTCGATACAACTCCGGATTGGGCCAACCAAAAGGTTCTTGATTTGAACGTCCGCGGCGTGTTCAATATTGTCAGATCGTGGGTGTGGGTATCTGCCTGGGCGAAATATGGCTGATTTGTGAAACAGATTTGCCCCATTACTTGAAGCCGCTGGTACACCCGAAGACCCAGCCAGGGTGGTCGTCGTCAGTTCCACCGCCGGAACCAACGTTCATCATGTTGGAGAGCACGGTACTATTATGTACTCCGCATCAAAGGCAGCGGCGCACCATCTGACGCGAAATCTTGCTGTCGAGCTTGGGCCAAGAAACATTACAACAAACACCGTTGCGCCTGGATTTTTCCCTTCCAAGCTAGCTAATGGCTTGATTGAGATCCTCGGTGGTGAGGAAGACTTGAAGAAGAGCAATCCTAGGCAGAGACTCGGTATGCCAGAGGATATTGCTGGAGTGATGCTTTTCCTTACTTCGCCAGTTGCTGGTTACATGTGAGTGATGACACGCTTGGAAACTGATGTCCGCACTAATATATTTTAGAAACGGGGTGGACATAGAGGTTGATGGAGGGGGGAGACTGTCTTCAGGAAGACTCACAAAATTATAGAGCCACCACCTACAGTGTACAATTGACCAGCAACCTTTTCGCCTCGTACAGATCTATCTGTCAGAGTAGTGAAGGGCACTGAAAGAAGCCATAGAGTGGTTAAGCTCAGCCTCGTGTCACCCCTTGAGTGGCTCTTCCAGGCTTCCTCGGCTTGACGGAAATCAGCGGTTAATGTTTTCCTCGGGCGACTCCACTGTGCCATCTATCATTTACTGAGCTTGGCGAGTCCTCCCGTAGCAGGTATACTTCTTCTCCCCAATGGTAGCGACCAGCCCTCGGCCTTTTCGATGGCCAGGCCAAGGCTGTACACCGAAAACCTGCTTGCCACGCGCGATACTAGGGCTCTGATAATGTTCTTGATCCGATACTTCAGCAGCTTCGTAGCCGCCCGGATGAGTCTCACAAGCGAAGCCATCGAGAGACGTAAGTGGGGAATACCGAATTCAATCTCTATGAATATGCCGGTGAATTGAACAGTGAAACCAGTAGTCCACCGAGTTCTGCGGAGAGCCCTGTTTACATGGCCCACTGGACAACGTCTTCAAAGGATGGAAAGAGCTAGTTGACAAGATGACTTCAATATACGAGTGTCCAGCACCTGATCATTCGGTTGACACGGAAGATGTCTCTCACCATCATTTACGATCCCTTTCATCTCAACTCGTGCCGGGAAAAGAAGTCGCGCTTTAGCTACCGAGGATAGGATATTACATACTTAAAGAATCGCCTTTAAGCTGGGGAGTTTGTCTTTCGTGATTTGTAGAGGTGGAACAGTGGAATCGAGAGATTGTGGAGAAGCAACAGTCCCCGGAATCTCCCGCAAATCCGTCGTTCTCTGTCTTCCTATCTCCGCATTTTCCCTGGATGTTGCAGAACTACGCATTTGATTATACAGCATACTCTCTCTCACTGTCAAAGCTAGTGTGGACCTTGGTTGAGATCCTCGGGTCTACATAGGTAAGCCAATGACAGAATCCTACAGGGGCCCTCTCAATACCGCCTCTCCCTGCACATAGCATAAAGGGTTTTCAGGCCTTTTCGAGGAATGTGCCCGTGTGTTCTTGCATTCGACCTTGACTCGGGCCACGATACATTTTCCTTCGCTTAGATAAGATTAGAATTCGGGATCCTTTTCAGATATTTTGGAAGATGTCGACTACGCTCAAACCAATCAAACTTTACACCTCTAGCCGTGGGCCAAAGTAGGCTGCCGCTCCCTTGCTTTCCAAACAATGCAATTACTGAACGCCTTGCGACAGCCCGTGGAAGGTCGCATTCATCTTCGAAGAGCTCGGGCTCCCCGTGGAGTATGAGCCTGTCGAATATAGCAAGGTGAAGGAGGAACCCTACATCAGCGTTAACCCGAATGGCCGTGTTCCTGCCATCCATGATCCAAACACAGGTGTAAGTCCGTTGACCTTGACCTCTTAGTGTGTCGCAAGCATCCGCAGCGTCCCAGATTCGGTCGTTTTGTTGATGCTGAAGGTCCTGGAAAAACTCCGAAACTGACAATTTCATGGTCCGCGGTAGTTCACGATCTGGGAGTCCGGCGCATGTACCCAGTATCTGATCGAAGAATACGACAAAGATCACAAAATTTCATACGGAACAAAGCCTGAGAAATATCTGACTGACCAATGGCTTTTCTTTCAAGTTTCAGGACAAGGTGGGCGCAATTTGCTTCTTAGCAGCATCCTTTACAGTTACTCTTGCCCTGACTGCCCTGAGTTTCGTGTTTGATTATTTTCACTTCAAGACGGTTATACAAAATTGACAAAACCCTTACAGGCCCATACTTTGGTCAAATGGCCTGGTTCAAATTTTACCACTTTGAAGAGCTGCCAAGTGCGATCGAGAGATATCAAAAGGAGATCCAGCGAGTCGTTTTGGTCATCGACCTGCACTTGACAAGGACTGGAATGCCGTATCTTGTTGGCGACAAGTGTACTTACGCGGATTTGAGCTTCGTAACCTGGGCTGAGGTTGCGGAGTTGCTGGAGGTGGACCTTTATGAAGGTGGGAAGAACCAAAAGTACAAAGCTTGGATGGAGAACCTCAAAGAGCGAGAAGCTGTCAAGAAGATCCTGGAACTGTACAGAACACCGCAGGGTGCTGTTAGAACACCGGCCAAGTGGGTGGGAAATTCTGAGGAATGAGTATATACCCCGTGGAAGGCTACACCTTCGGTGCCTTAGTGAGACCCTCGAAGATTCGCAGCAATGTTCAAACTATGTCTGGTTTCTCTGAAGCTCCTTTTGTCCATAAATTAACTAACGAGGAGCCTGGATAGCTTGTCAATGCTACGGAAGGGCAAAGAAAGCTGGAACAGCCTCTGAGCACAGGACTAGCACTGGGAGCATCGTGCTCTCAGAGTTTAAGAGGCCTATCCAAGGACGCTCCTGCCAACGAAGAGCAAAGGCGTAGTTTTAGAAGGCACGCCAAAGACTTTTTCTTGCCTTTACAGTGAGAAAAGTGTTCATTTGACTTAATAGAATGCCTGTAGTAGCTAGTGCATTACTTTCTCACAGTAAATTGTGTTCTGTTCTGATCATGCTTGTGGATTGACCAAAGGTCACAGCTCGAGTGTGGGACTACGAGACATTATTGTGATTACTTTTTCACAACTAAAACTTCACGTAGCACGTACTCAAGTAGGTATCAACGAACATGGCATGGCCACTGAGAAGGAAAATGTAGCTGTCTTCCCTACCAGACATTGAGTCACTCAATCTCGTACTTTGACAAAACGGTGCCTTTGCCTGGCGGCAGGGAGCGATCTGTCTTTCTTAGCAGCCGCCGTAACGTTTTTCAAAGATTTTTTTCGCTGCGTTTCCCAACTGCCAAACCTGTTCATGAAGGACCGTACGTCTTCGATCAACCTTTGTCGGATATATTGGACTTCGATCTGGGGTAGCCACACCCGATGATCAGGCGGACGTGGAAATTACCTTGGCCAACAACCACGCCGGTTTTGGAGCCCGATGGCCTTGGTCTCATATTTTCTGAGACAGGGGTTACAGTATGCTCTCATTTGAAAGCAACATGATAGTCGCGATTCGACCGAGTAAGGCCCAGAAGTTGGGATCTTCGGGTCTCGAATGGAAGATCTCGCGTTTCTGTTCCCAGGAAGAGGGAAGAATTGGCTAGGGCAAGCCGAGTTCTCGCTAAATTCCAGGCTTCCAACCTCCTCTCGACCTTCTTACTTTTTTCGGCAGACACGGAAGAGGGGAAGAGAGTCTCGATTATCGACGTAGTGTGGAATCTGTTCTAAGCCTTTCCAGCTCCTCGCAAGGTGAAGGGGTATGAGAATCAGGACCACGATGAAGTTGCTCTCCACCGAAGTGTTTCGAAGATGCTAAGAGTCATTCCTGATCCTTCTCATCTGTGACGTTAAGCCGTAGAGACGTGAAAATAGCTGCATCCGAGCCATAATTATTCACTTTGATGGTGCTCAGCTGCACAGAGGCAAGAAGGAGCAAGCCTCGACGGCACCTCCACAGAAACTTGAAATACATCAAACAACGCCAAGACCCGCGTATCTTCCCGTGCAGTGGGCACGCGATCCGGCCTGCCGTGTGTTCTGATTGGGCTGTTTGAAATGCCACGTGGATTGCTTAACTCTATTTGAGTCTCTACGTTCTGATTGGTCCATTCCGGGGGGGGCCAGCTTTGGAGGCGACGCCTGATCAGTTTGACTCGCAGTCGCCCACAAGTGTGAGGCCTACATCGTCGTCGCAGTCACGGAGTTGCAAAATGGGTGTGTGACGTTCGCTGTTCTCAGGGCATCGGCGTTGCTTGCTCGGAGATGTAGAGTCGTTTTCATGTTTTCTCTACGGGTACTCACAACGTTTTCCACGTCGCCATCCCTGGGATGAACAAACCATGCGCCGGGAGGTATACCTCTATGTTACAATCTGGGAACTGCTGTGGTATCCTTGGGCGGGACATATTCCCACTCAAACTCTCCGTCTGGGTTCTCTATTCCCCACTGCTTTCTCAACTCCCTCGCCCTCTCAACGTAATCTTGATGTCGTTTCCTGACGCCGTCGAACTGCTTCAGCTGATCTCGGCCGACTTGATGTCGGTGTGCGGCGTCAGGTCCGTCGGCAACCCGGACGAAGCGAGCATAGGTCCAGATCTCAGGGAGCGGCGTGTGCTGGGTCAGGCCTTGACCGCCATAGATCTGCATGCACTCGTCGATGATCTTGGTCGCCGCGACTGGCACGAGGATCTTCGACTGTGCAATCACATATCGCCCGGCCTTGTTGCCGCGGTCGTCCATGGTGTCCGCGGCATTGAGAACAACGAGGCGCATGGCATCAATCTCCAGCCTCATACTGGCCAGCCGCTCAATGTTGCTGTCAAACTGGCCAATGAACTTGCCGCGGGGTTTCTTCCGTGGATCTCGGCACCGGAGCAGCGCCAGTTCGTACGCCCGCTCGCACTGTCCGATCAGACGCATGCAATGATGAATACGGCCAGGCCCAAGTCTGCCTTGGGCGATTTCAAAGGCGCGGCCCTCACCCAAGATCACATTTTCCTTCGGTACGCGTACGTTTTGATAGAGGTATTCGCCGTGGCCATCAGGCGCGTGATCGTAGCCCATGATGGTCAGGTTGCGCTTCATGATAAGGCCGGGCGAGTCGCTGGGGACTAGAATAGTCGTGTGCCGTCTCCAAGGGTCCGGATTGTCTGGGTCGGAGCATGCCATCAAGATATATAATTTCATCTCCTCGTTCCACTGCGCGTTGCCGTACAGTTTACGTCCATTGATGACGTACTCGTCGCCGTCGCGTGTTATGCGGCAGCCGATGTTGGTCGCATCGGAGGACGCCCGGTCGGGCTCAGTCATGGAATACGCGGACGAGAAATCGCCATTCATGAGGGGCTTGAGCCACTTCTCCTTCTGAGCGTCGGTGCAGTATTTGGCGAGCAGCTCGATATTGCCCGTCTCGGGCGCGTGGCAGTTCATCGTCTGGGCAGCCCAGTAAGTCCGGCCCATGATCTCAGCGCAGCACGAATACTCGAGATTGGTGAGTCCCGGTGATTCTTTGAAATGGTTGGGCAGGAAAATGTTCCACAAACCCTGCGATTTGGCCTTTTTGCGGAGCTGGTGCATCAACGGAGGCGTCTTCCATCGATCCTTGGTCACTTGAGCTTTCATAATCTGCTCTGCAGGAATGCATTCTGTCTCCACCCACTGATAGACTCGTTGGATGAGATCGACGGCTTGGGGGCGGAGTTTGGACAACACCCAGGGAGGATATCGGTTGAAAGGGGCCTGGTCAGCCAGCGCGGAGTTGGAAGACGCAGCCATCTTCAAATTTGTGGCTCACAATCGCGAAAAGAAACCAAAACCAAAAAACCTGAAGCACGACTATGTTGTCATCGGGTATATACTTGATGCGTGGTTGATCGGAAGTGTTTATCCAGTCCTTCGGGCCAAGAGCTGCCACTGGCCGAGGCTCATTGGGTTGCCTTGGATGCACTGATTCAGGGTGCAATGTCATTGTGGGTGCACCTTATTCATGATACTGCATGCCATGACCATGATCAGAGCAGGGAAAGGTGATGAACCTGCTAAACCTCCAAGGTGGGAAGAGCGAAGGCTGGTCGTAACGCCAGGCTCCGCTGGGTGACCTTGAGCAAGCGTAGCAAAGAGGATACCGAAATGCTCAAGACTTAGCTGGCGAAACGTGCTAATCGTGCTCTGCACATCACTCATGTACAGAAGCAGATAGGCTGCTCGAGATGGCCCCTGACGATTTCTGAGGGCCGTAGCCATCTGTGTTGCGAAGTTCAATCACACAGTTCCAGCACAAGAATTCGAGAAGACGCGACAAGAGTGTTTCGTTGACATTGACGTCATGCGCCCTGGCCCCGGCAATTGGGTGCTTCGTGTTAGGCGCATTGTCAACAAAATCAGCCCCGAAATTTGGATAATGTGCTCCCCCGGCTGCTCTATAGGTACCAAGGGTTACCTGGCGGACGGGGGCAATGCTGGCGGCGACATGCCGATGAGTGAGGTGATCAATCTACTGACGTACGGAAAACATATGGCACTGAACATCGTGCTCTATGCCGGCATTCCCACTCGACGTGGTGATAAGACAATGACCCGAGGGAGAATGAGAAATGAGGAATCACACACAAACAGGATTGACTGATTTCCTCTTTTGGTCAGCGCGACAGTGCAGGACCAAGCACGAGATTCCGAGTTAGTTGGCTTGTTTTCCACCAAAGCGCATCATGGCACCTTCATTGCAGCACACGTTGAAATCCGATATCATTCGTTCTACGGGACAAAGACGACCAGCCAAACGTACAGCATGATCACAACCTGGCGCCGCCTTTCCTGCCCGGCGCCAACTGACCTAACGCGGCATCTCGACGTGATATCTGTTCAGTATGCCTGGCAGCCTCTTCCATGCGTCTTTCATCGTTGCTATAGAGTCTGTGGCGTAGTAAGTTGTGTCCCGAAACTGTGACTCAATGGAGGAATATGATGAATTCTACAGGGTCCTGGGGCCCGTCTGACTATAAACGTTCGAGTAATTAACAAAGGGGTCTCGACACTAGTAATAGGCCTGCGGCCGAAGACTAGCGCGGACAGTCATTACATCTCTTGGCGTTCCTGTCAGGCACACTCGGGCTCCCAAATTCCTTCGGCCCTAAAAGAGCTGCCATTGAACCTTGACGAGATCGCCCTAAACTCTCTCGCTTCATTCCGAAACGTCTTTACTTGTAACCCCTTTGCGGATGCACAAGCAGCTTTCTCACGCACCATATCGATGTTGTCTTCCTTCTCAATCGTGGCCAGCCACTCTTCTATTGCGGTAGGTCGATCTCCAACGCCAGGAAAATGCACCAATAGGTCACCAGTTTGCACATCCCCCGCGTAGCCGTTGATCCAACGCTTTGGCACGAAGACAACGTGGTCTCTGTACTCGGTCTCGTTGAAGACCAATTCCATGGCTCTTTGATCGGGCCACCATTTTCGGCAAATCGATGTGTGGATGGGTCATAGAATACGCCATGATTTTGGCCATGTAGTATGCTGTCAGCAGTGAGACTCGGAACAGGAAGACTCCACTGTTAAGGCCGTTGAGATCTTTGGTGCAGATGAATTGAATCTGAGACATATTTTCCGGTGGCAAGAACGTCTCCAGTCCCGCAGAAGGGTTGAGGATGAGGGAGTCGGCATCAAACCATAGCAACCATCTCCGTCGTTGTTCTTCCGGCTCGGCCAGTTCCTCCACCAATGTCCAGTGCATGAAGTAGATTTTGTCCCAGAAATTGTGAATCGTCGGCTTTTGAAGGAGAAACAGTGGATATCCGCGGAGGTCGGCATGATCTTGGTGTGACCGCAGTGCTCTTTGAAATGCTAGCTTGTCTACAATGTCTCCCCAAAGCATGGAGATCTTTCCGATCGAGTGATAGAAGCCGCAATCTGTGCAGCTAGTTCCCTTCATCCGCGGCCGGGACCGAAGAAATGAGCCAATATCCTCTAGGTGAGTGGCGTATACGGTGATACCTGGCACAGTAACGCACAGCAGATCCTGGCAAAATAGACCACCTCATCTACGGCGCTTTGTCAACAAATGCGAGGATAAGATAAAGAGGCCAGAAGATTGACGTTTGAGGCAAGGTGGGATGATGCTTTTCAAGATCCTCGATCATGTTTGCGTGTGGAGAGGTGTGGCATCGCCTACATCGCAAAACTTTCTGACTTTATTCAACCATGTCGATCAACAGTACCTCATCGTGGTCGGGCAAGCCACCGGTGTACGCAATCCATTTCAAATTGCCGACTTCCAAGGTGCGATTGCCATTCAGTACGTCTCTACCACCCCGTGGTATCTTCTCTCGGCGTCTCGGCTTCCTAAGTCTCCATCCTTTGTGCAGCATCCATGGCGGCCAGCTTCACCCAACATGTCTTCCAACTAGGCTTGAGCTGCCGATGTGAGGAATGGCACTCTCGGCGGTGGTATGTTGACCATGTTCATCTTTGATCCGCTTGGCGGCAGCATAATAATACTGTGTACAAATATAAATTTGGTATCCTTAATTAAAGCAAGAAAATTCTACCAATGAAACTTCGGCTGATGTGTCTGCTGTCATGTGAGAACGCGTTGTGATCTTAAGTGGATTGACTCGTATACTAAGACCGTCGAAGACGAAGGATATTACCTGGAAGATGAGATCCGCCGAGGAAGGGTTTGGTCGCTCAGCTTGGCCGATAGAGAAGTCCTTCGCAAGCATGGCTGAGATTGTTCTCAATCCGCTCGATCTGATGATAGCTTGCTTTACCTAAGGAGAGCTGACCCCGAGGGACTGGCCTCGTCTTTGGGGGAATCGTGTCTTGAGAAGTGGAATAATGTGGTCGACCTGTAGCTGGATTGTAGCAAGACGCTGCTGTACCCTGAAAGTCGATCTATAAATTGGAATATTGTATATAGCGTTAGGCTGGGCAGGACCATGATTGGGGGACTGATCATTCCGTACTCTTCGACCAAGGTAACCCGAAATTGCAGGAGCCGAGCACCAACTGGTCAAGGTCGAAAGATGTGCAATCCGAATCCCATCGAGAAACAGAACACAGCAGACTCGGGCAAAACCGCACAGTTTCTTGCTGTCAGCTTTTGGAAGATTGTTTGTTGTCAATCTCTTGGCTTGTGGTCTCCATTGAAGGTCTGGCAGTCTTGAGCAGAAGCATCGCGATCAAAGAGTCTGGTGATTGTCGAGGAGTGCTGGGCGAAGATTTGAGAGACGCGTGAAGGCCCAGAGAGACTAAGCAAACTCTCCGGACCGAGCTGGAAGATTCATGTGCGACACGGAAATCAATTGCTCCTGGAGCGCAATGCGACGTCCAGTCATTCTGCAATTCGCAGCTCGGCAAAGGCGGGGCTACTAGGTATGAAATCACGTTCTTCACATGGTGTTTCGAGCCATCTCCTGAAACACACCAGATTCTTGTGTGTCGCTGTGAGCGAGGAGCGGCGTTTGCAGGAGGATCGTGGAATCTGGAAAGTCATCGTCTTTGAGTGTTCGCGGGACGACATGCGGAGTTGTTCAGGATATCAAAATGACTTGTAGCGTAAAGCGTATTCAAAATGTGGACTTGTCGTAGCATGGAAGGAAGCGTGGGACGGTGTGGTGGTGTTCAACATGCGCTGAATCATTGAGGTTTCGAAGGTCGTGAGCGGAAGCACGAGGAGGCGGAGGAGATGAATCGACGAGCACTGGCGGGAAGGGAGAAGGTACTGGGAGTGGATCATCCCTTCACGCTGACAAGCGTCTACAAGCTTGCCTACCTACTCGATGCCACTATACAACAAGTTTGGCGTTTTCCAAAGGCTTCGCCGTGTCTACAAGCAAAGACACGAAGCATCGAGAAGGTGAGCTTTGGTTCCTTTGATTGCGAAGAGCGTGCGGTAAAAGTCCAGGCAAAAAACCACACCTGATAATTAACACATGGTTTGAAAGGCAACAGCACTAAGGGATTCCGCCATATTGCGTTGTGCCGAAAATGGCCGCCCGCCTTTGGACATAGAAGAGGATTAGGGTCGAAAAGACCGAAGTGAAAGGATTCTGTCTCAATCATTGACTCGTCTTCCAAGTGAGTGATATTCAGAAAGAATCATCTCAAAGCCAGCCTCCTTCCCACTTGGCTGTACTCGTAGTGAACCTTGACCCTTCATTCTGGTTCTGCGTAACCGAATCTTTGAAGCTCGGTCGCTCCGATCTTGCGGCAAGTTGACAGAGATTGACAAGTACTGCTGGAAACAGCCCCGCTGTGATGCGAGAGAAATACCAAGTCCCGTGACTCCGAAGTAATGTGTATGTGTTGTGTTTGTCGTGGATCATTCTGTTCCGACTTTTTCAGTTTCGGCATCTCAGGACGAAGTCATTTGATTATCGGGTATGACTTTCCCAAGACACATATCAAGCGCTCCTCGTTTCGCCCACGCGGTCTACCAAAACCAGGCCCGATACTGTAGTACTGTGGTCTGTTACGAATCTGCACAAGGCACAGGAGGGTGTGACATCAATAGGCACAGTAGTGAGAAAAAGCTACCCAGTCAAGAGAGCCTAAGTACGGGGACGAATGGGTACAATAATAGTGCAACCGGCACTTGATATCCTTAGAGCGCAAGCACTAATCCCAATTGGGTCAATGCCCCCCGCATTCGTCGCGATTGCCGTACTCGGGAGCCTGGACTTCCCTACGGTAGGTAGGCAACCAATCCATACGAAATTCCACCTGCTCGCTCTCCACCTGCTCGCTTTCCACCTGCTCGCTCTCCACCTGCTCGCTTTCCACCTGCTCGCT